TGTAACAGGATGACACCCCTGCTCTGGTCACTCCAGAAGCTGAGTAGTCTACACATGGCAGAAGCTCAATCATGGGATGCACCCCTGCTCTCCTTTACACACTTGAACTCCTACCTTTTGGGTTGGTCCTTGCAAAGTTTCCCCCATGTACTGAATGTTATAAGAGAGCCATTGCTGGGACCTCCACACAGCCATACTTTGTAGCATGCACCCACCACCAGGCCGGGTATTACATCTGCTCATGTACTTCCCCATGTTTGCAAGGTTGCTGGTGAGCAATACTAAAAGTCCCAGAGTAAAAAACGATACAGGCTACATTTGTCATGAAAAGCGGGGTCTTGTCTTGGAAGCATGTTTGATGTTATCCTGCCTGGTTCCCTTGGTATTGTGGTCCATCAGGACCATTATAGAGGCCACTACAGAAAGAAAAAGAGCCGCCTATGTAATGATGCTATAAAAATACAAACCCCTAAATCAAGATGATGCTCTTTGACCCTAGGTGGGTCTGAGACTCAAAGTGGGGAATAATGTAGTAGGGAGGAGGGCCAGAAAAAAAATCACAAGTCTGTGTTCTGATAATGTAGCAGGGGGGAGGAGATGGCATAGCAGAGAGATAAAACTTAAAAATCTAAACATGAAGAAGGTCACATAGCACTGAGGGTGAAGTAGCCAATAGAGTTACATGCAACTGGTTAAACTTTGCTTTTTGCTTCTGTAACCTGCTTTGCAAGAGTATATAAGGTGAGACCCCTCTGTTCTCCGGGCTCAGCCTTTGGATGTGAATCTGCTGAGCTGCTGCAGGCACGCTAATAAATACTGCTTCCTGAAAAGCCTTGGCGTTCTGTGTCTCTGTTCGAGATTTCCCTAACAGGAGGAGGCCACAGAGGTAACAAAGAGCAGGGTTTGTTCAGGGAATAGCTAGCAATTGAGTTCTGTTCTTCTCGAGCTTTCCTTGGCATTGAGCAGTAAGCAAAGTGGGTGGTAAGGTCAGGTACAGAGAGTCAAGAGGTGGGATGGAGAAGGCGTTAGGGATTCAAAGAGATAAGAATTAAAGCATTTGGAGCAACATGAAAGATCCAAAGGGTTGGGATAAATTCAAAATGGAATTGGCTCAGTTTGTCTTTTTCTGGCAGTGCTTTGGCAAGCCAGGAAAAGCAGAAAAAGAGAAGGCTAGAGACTGGCAAGTTACATGTAGCAAGAAGGCCAAGGAGCTAAGGAGAATAGTATAAAAATGCTTTCCCTTGGGGGTCTGCCCAGGTAAGAAGCAACAGAAAGGTGGCTGGGCAGTGTTTGGGAATAAGTCCCCTGAAGGTCAAATGTGTTAAAGGCTTGGCCCCCAGCTGGTGATGCAGCCGGGAGCCTCATGGGGTCTAATAAGAGGTCTTCCTAGTGGGAACCTAGAGGTGGGGCTGAGTGGGAGGACTTCAGGTTGTTGGAAGTGTTCCCTTGAAAGGGATAGTGAGACTCTGGCCCTTCCTTCCCCCTTATTCTATTTTGCATCCACGCCCTGAGTTGAGTGGTTTTGTTCTGCTACATCCTCCCACCATAATGTGTCATTAGAGGTCCAAAGCAACAGGGCCAACAAAAATGTGTGCTGAAACCTCTGAAATCATGAGCCAAAATAAACCTGTTTTCTTTGTAAGTTGATTTGTCTCAAGTATGTAGTATAGTAACTGAAAGCTGACTAACTACACCTGGGAAGGGCCATGGTGGGCTCCAGAAATCTTCGTCTGATCACAGGCTTGTTTCCTCATCCACTATTTTACAGGGCTGAATTAGGTGATCTGTAAGACCCTGCCAGCCCTTAAATTCTATTTTCTCTTGGCCCTCTTTTCAGGTTATTGTAGATTGAGCATGTAAACATATAGATTGCATGTAAACCACTTTGCATGGTGGAAGGTCAGGACTAATATCTAGGCATAGCAACTAAGCCTGGGCTATAACATTTTTCATTTGACTGAAAGTTAGGAAAGGGTAGCGTTGAAGGAAGTGATCTGTAAGTTTAGTAGGAGTAAGCAGCAAGGAAGAAGAGGTAAGGATTTGAAGATTAGAGAGTCCAAGTGTGGTTATACATGTGGGTGGGATGAGTAAGAAAGAGAAGTCAGTATAGTTGGAAGCTTGAGGAATGGTGGATTCAGGGTGTGTAGGAGATTGTGGTTCCTGAGAATTCATCATCAAACAATACTTGAGGGCCTATTATGTGACAGCTATGCATGAGACTGAGAAAGATTGGTGCTGTGATTTAAGTGTGTCTCCCCACTTCCAAAAGCATGTGTTGGAAACATGATCCTCAATGCAACAGTGTTGGGAGGTAAGGCCTAATGGGAGCTGTTGGGTTATGGGGGCTCAACTTTCATAAATTAGAGCCAGATGTTCTGGCGAGGGGGCAGCACTGGGCTTTGGACTCAGGACCTCATGCTTGCTAGACAGACGCTCTTGCAACTTGAGTCACTCTGCCAGCTAGACAGATTGAAAAGACCTTGAGGCTGAAAATTTGGTATCTCTCTCTTTCCAGTTTTTTGAAGCCAAGGCCAGCCTTGGCTGGTCTTGAACTTGTGGACCTCCCAAGTGCTGGCTTTATAGGCATACACTGCCATGCCTAGCTACAAGTTTGATCTTTTACTTTCTCTCATGCTCTCTTGCCCTTCTGTTTTCTGACACAGGATGACACAGTAAGAGGGTCCTAGCCATATGAACAGCTTTAATCCTGGACTTCCCAGCCCCTAGAATTATAAGAAACAAATCTCTATTCTTTAGAAATTACACAATCTTAGGTAGTCTGTTATAGCAGTTAATGAACTAAGACAACTGAGGTGGTGTCAGATGATTAGAAGCATGGAAAAGGAGAGTGAAAGTGGGGTTTATGAAGTCCAACATCTGGAAGGAGTAACAAGAGAGCAGACGAACCATGGAAGCAATATATAAGGAGAAAGTTCTGAAGATCCTACATTTTTATTTTTGGTGGCAGTGGGGTTCAAACTCAGGACCTTGCACTTGCTAGGCAAGTACTCTTACTGCTTGAGTCACTCTGTCAACACAAGGAGAAAGTTTTGAGTGCTAGAAGATCACAAAGTTCATGACAGATGTCAATGGTGTCCAATGAACTTGGCATATTTCCTTGTATCAAATTTAAGGAGATCCAGGTGCTGGTGGCTCAAGCCTATAATCCTAGCTACTCAGGAGGCAGAGATCAGGAAGATTATGGTACAAAGACAGCCTACACAAATAACTCACAAGATCCTATCTTGAAAAAAACCCATCACAAAAAAAGGGCTGGTGGAGTGGCTCAAGGTATAGGCCTTGAGTTCAAGCCCCAGTACAGCCAAAAAAAAAAAAAAGATTTAAGGAGTAGATTTTATCATTGATGTTCAATAAAAGGACTTGGATATTTAAGAAACACTGCTTGCTGCTATTTTGCAATATTTAAGAGCTACTTTAATATGGGTTCACTGAAAATAGGTGTAAGAAATATAGGTATGGCAAAGTAAAGTTATCAATACAAATCATAGCCTGATAAGTACATAAAAAAATTCTTCCTTCTGAAAAGACTTACTGTGGTCTTTTAACTATGAATTTCCTTGATATTCTTATTAACCACTGGAGAAAGTAAAAAGGGGATTAAAGCTGTATGCATTTTTGGAATATTCTAATGAATAAAGGAAATAGGCCTGTAGTTGGTTTTTGGAAACAATCCAATATATTCAGAAAGCACAATATGTTTTCCCTCATGCTGGAGCCATTCATTGATTGAATTAAAAAGCAAAAAAAGTATGGGATACTAAAAGCCATTAATAAGATACAGTACAATAAATAAAACCCTCTTCAGTCACATGTAGATAATTTCTTTTTTCAGAAGTGGGGATTGAGCGCAAGGCCTCCTGCGTGCTAGGCAGGTACTCTACTACTTGAGCCATGCCCCCAGTTTTTATTTTGTCTTGAGAGAATCTTGCTAAATTGCTCAGGATGGCCTTGAACTTTCAATCCTCCTTCTTTAGTCTCTATCTAAGTAGCTGGGATTACATATGTGTGGGCTAGATCACAACTTTGGGTGGGTCTTATTTCTTCATTAAAATAAATATGTGAAAGAAATGGCCCTTTAAACCCTCTTACACTGTTGGTGGGAATGTAGACTAGTACAACCACTCTGGAAAAAAATTTGGAGGCTACTTAAAAAGCTGGACATCGATCTACCATTTGATCCAGCAATACCACTCTTGGGGATATACCTAAAAGACTGTTACTCCAGAGGCACCTGCACATCCATGTTTATTGCCAGCACTATTCACAATAGCCAAGTTATGGAAACAGCCAAGATGCCCACCACTGACGAATGGATTAAGAAAATGTTATCTATACACAATGGAATTTTATGCAGCCATGAAGAAGAAGAAATGTTATCATTCGCTGGTAAATGGATGGAAATTGGAGAACATCATTCTGAGTGAGGTTAGCCTGGCCAAAAAACCAAAAATCGTATGTTCTCCCTCATATGTGGACATTAGATCAAGGGCAAACACAACAAGGGGATTGGACTATGAGCACATGATAAAAGCGAGAGCACACAAGGGAGGGGTGAGGATAGGTAAGACACCTAAAAACTAGCTAGCATTTGTTGCCCTTAACGCAGAGAAACTAAAGCAGATACCTTAAAGCAACTGAGGCCAATAGGAAAAGGGGACCAAGAACTAGAGAAAAGGTTAGATCAAAAAGAATTAACCTAGAAGGCAACACCCATGCACAGGAAATCAATGTGAGTCAATGCCCTGTATAGCTATCCTTATCTCAACCAGCAAAAACCCTTGTTCCTTCCTATTATTGCTTATACTCTCTCTACAACAAAATTAGAAATAAGGGCAAAATAGTTTCTGCTGGGTATTGAGGGGGGAGGGAGGGGGGAGTGGGTGGTAAGGGAGGGGTGGGGGAGGGGGGAAATGAACCAAGCCTTGTATGCACATATGAATAATAAAAGAAAAAGGAAAAAAGAAAAAAAAAAAAATAACCTGGGTTAGAGAACTTGTGCTTAATCCTTCTTGCCACTGCTTTATGGTTAGGTCTTGGTCTTTTCTCTCCCTGTAAAAATACAAACATTTATGTTATTGTATTATTATGTCAATTAAATGAGAATGTGTATGAACATATTTTAAAAAATTAACTATAAATATACAGAATTTGGAGTGTACTTGGTGAAATCAATGCTATTAGATTTTGTTTTTCAACCCTCCATTAATTTTACCTGCAAAAGATATACTTATTTCCTTTCTTTAAATAAAATGTTTTAAGAAGGAAGAAATAGTCATTTTCCAGGGCTAGTTACCCTTGCTTTAGACCTTTGGTTCTGTTCTTAAATTGATATGATAAGTTATACATTAAAAAAAAATAACTTCAGAAGAAAAAGAATAAAAAAATAAAATAAAAATAACTTTCGAAGTTGTGATATTATCTAGTTTGATGACTTAGGCCAGTCACTTAACCTCTTTGCACTCAATTTCCCCATCTCTAAAATAGGAATAACATTCCTTTTATTTTTTGTTTCTAGCACTGGGACTTGAACTCAGGGCCTATATCTTGAGCCACTCCACCAGCCTTTTTATTGTGTGATAGGTTTTTTTCAAGATAGGGTCTCAAGATCTATTTGCCCAAGCTGGCTTTGAACCACAATCCTCCTGATCTCTGCCTTCTGATAGCTAGGATTACAGGCGTGAGTCACCGGCACCTGGCTAGGAATAATATTCTTACATTTATTTATTCAACAAATATTGACTGCACTGTTGTACCTAGAAGGTTCTGGCTTACCACAATAAACAAGATGAGTCTCTGTTCTTCTCTAATTTACACTTTAGTAAGAAGAGCCAGACAAAAATCATAAATACGTAAATAAAGTAACTGAAGTAAATGTTATGAAGAAAGTAAGTCTGAGTAATTGCATAGAACGTGCTTGGGTCAGAGAAGAAGAGAAGAGGGGGCTGCCACCTGACAGAGCAGTCATCTTTGAGGAGGCAGCACATGTAAGCTCAAGATAAAATAACAAGGAACAGATATGGCGGATCCAGAGAAGTTTTTAAATCCTCAAGGCAGGAAGACTCTTAGCACTTTTTTTTTTTTTGGCAATACTGGGGTTTGAACTCAGGGCCTCATACTTGCTAGGCAGGTGCTCTACCACTTGAGCCACTCAGCCAGCCCATTAGCATTTTTTTATGAACAGAATAAAGGCCTGGAGCCTCATAAAAAAAAAAAGGAGAGTACTGTGATATTAAGAGGATATTAAGTTATTAGGAGAGGCAGGTGGAGTTCAGATCATGAAGAGCCTCATAGGTATGAGAAGGGTATTACTGTATATTCTAATTTCAAAGGAAGGACACAAAGTGGACTAAGTGAGGAGGAAGTGGACATTGCATAATTTTACATTTTCAAAACGAATCTAGTCCCTATAAGTAAAATTTAAAATCTAATTGTTTAATAGGTTTGCCCAATTTACTTCCTATACATCAGTAATAGTTTAAAAACTATAATTTTTTTCTTTTTATTTTTGAGTCAGGATCTCATTATGTAGCTTAGGCTGGTTTCAAACTCAACATTCTCCTTCCTCAGCCTTCTGAGTGCTGGGATTCTATAATTTCTTTTCTTTCTTTCTTTTTTTTTGAGATTTAGATCAAGCACAAGGTTTATTGAAAGGATAGCAAAACACTCTGATGGGTGGGACTTAGAATACATTTAACAAAAGAGTTTGAAGACCTTTATGGAAGTATGTTATAAACATTTTTGGAAGACATTAAATTAATAAAGATATAGCATGCTCATGAATAAATGCTTGATATCACAAAAACATGTCATTTCTCTCCAAAATATGCAATAACTTCAGTGAAATTTTTCTGGCAGTATTCAGGTTTGAACTCAGGGCTTTGCCCTTGCTAGGCAGGCCCTCTGCAGTTTCAGCCATGTCTCCAGCCTCATAGTGTTTCAAATTAAAAATTTCAAGAGTCTTTCCCCCCACTCTAGAGAGTTTGATAATCAAATCTTACAACTGTATGGAGGAACAAAGGAGCAAAATGAACCAAGTAATTTTGAATTTGTTCTACCAGATATCAATCAATATTATAACTAAGGCAGTATGATATTGTGCTGGGTGCCGATGGCCAACGCCTGTAATTCTAGCTGCTCAGGAGGCAGAGATCAGGAGGATCATGGTTTGAAGCCAGCCCAGGCAAATAGTTCTTAAGACCCTATTCCAAAAACACCCTTCACAAAAAAGGGCTGGTGAAGTGGCTCAAAGGTGTAGGCCCTGAGTTCAAACCCCAGTACTACAAAACAAACAAACAAACAATATGACATTGAGATATAAGTAGACAAACAGGCCAGTAGAACGGAATAAAGAACTCCAATACTGACCGTGTTGTACAGTCAGTTGAAGGTTGAAGTATTATAAAAGTTGAAAGGTTGAAGTATTATAAAAGTGGCTTTTTAGGTCAATGGGGAAAGGATGGACAATTTAGTAACTACAGCAAAGACCACTGATTATTCATATAAACAACAAAATCAATCTGGATAACTTAAAGACCAAACCATAAGCACTCATTCTTTATAATATTTAGATGGAAATTCAGGAGAACATCTTTATGACCTCAGGGAAGGGAAGGACTTTTTACAGCATAAAAAACACAAACTAGGCTCAGGCTGTCAGAGTGCCTGCCTAGCCAGCATGAAGCCCTGAGTTTAATCCCATTGTCACCAAAACAAAACAAAACAATCCCTCCCCCACAGACTCCAAAGGGGGAAAAATGTATCTTTGATAATATTAACATAAAACACTTGTATACTTGTAAAACAGTATAAAGTGTTTTATACTTTATAAAGTGTAGATAAGCCACAAATTAAAAGATATTTGTAAGTCAAAAAATTAACAAGGGTTATTTTCCAGAAAATGGTAAACAAATAACAAAACCCCTATAAATCAATAAGAAAAAGGCAATCACATAAATGAGCAAAGGATAGAGAGCTGAAAATCACAGAAAAGTAAAACCAAAAGGCTGCTAAACACATGAAAGAATTTTCATCTTCCCTAGTAATAAGAAAATGCACACAAATAAGAAAGGCACAATTTTAAAAGCATCTAATTCTTGAGGAAGAACCTGAGTAACAGGCATGTTCATACACTACATAAACTATATGGAGTATAAATTGTTGCAACTATTTCAAAGAGCAATTTACTTACAATATCTGACAATAATATTGAAGTATATTTATTGAAATGATCTACTAAGTTCTAGCATATTGTTATAGAGAAAGTTTTGCACCTGTAGGTAAGGAGACAGGAATATTGATGGCATCATGGAATCTTTGGAATGAAAAATTGGAAATACGACAAATGCCCATTAACAGGGTTTGGGTACATAAATTACAGGTGTTCAGCAGTGAAAATTAATGAAGTGCAGCTATAGATTTTTTTTTTTTTGCAGTGCTGGAGTTTGAACCCAGGGCCTGTCCTTGACCCACTCCACCAGCCCTTTTAAATTATGGTTTTTTTTTTTGAGATAGGGTCGGGCAAATAGTTTGCCCAGGCTGGCGTTGAACTGTGATTCTCCTGATCTCTGCCTCCTGAGTAGCTAGGATTATAGGTGTGAGCCATCTGTGCCCAGTTGCAAGCTATTAGGGAGGGTGAATTTCATCTTTTTTTTGGTGATACTGGGGTTTGAACCTGAGTTCAGTGAATTTCATAATCTTGAGCCAAAAAATTTCAGAAAGTACATAAAACACTATATATTATTGCAGATATAATAAAAGTATACATATTTCCATGGGAATGAATGATGAACACAAAATCAAGATGGTCTTAGAAGGGTAATAGGATTAGGGAGGGTCACACAGGAGACTTCAGTTAGATGTAGATTTTGTTGTTGTTCTGTAATAACGGGCTGGCAGATTGCTCAAGCAGTTCGGGGGTGCCTAGCAAGCATGAAACCTTGAGTTAGGAACTTCAGTATCGCTAAAAAAAATAAAATAAAATAAATAATAAATAAGAAGAGACAATACTGAATGTACTTGAGGCAGTTGTAAGGAAACAAAGGCTCACAGAGGCGGCAGCCAGAGGGCTCAACGCTGATTAATGTCTAATGACTTCCATCCCTAATGTTGTCACACACATACACACAGCCACACCCCATTTAACACACCTCTTTTCCTGTTTAGCACTTTGAAAAAAATTCAACCATCTTTTCCATTTGGCTTTCATAAGGTAGGCACATTTGAGCAAATTAATTCTACACGATACACACTTGAACAATTCCTCGTTAACTTATTGCCAGGAATACTTTGGACTTGTTCTCTTTTCATTTATCTATTCTATTGTTTCCCAAAAAGTTCTGAAAGGAAAGTAGGGGCATTTGACTAACTCTGTTATGCAGTGAGTAAATTAAAAAGCACAAAATCAAGAGGTTCCTAACCTGGTGTCTTTATTGAAATGCTATTGCTAAATACTTTATAATTGATTGGGTGTCTTTTCTGGAAAAAAAAAGCCAGTTTAATTGCATTTTTTCTATGGAATCCTCACTTCCCAGAAGATAAAAAACAACACCTCTCCCCATTGTTAAATGATTTGCTTTAAAGCCTAAGGGTATTGGTTCCTAGTGGGTCTTGAAGTTTCCAAAGTAGTTTCTCCCATTATCACCAGGAATTCAGTTCACTTCATTCTTACATGCATTAGAGTTCAAAACTAAAGGACTGCGGTGTGGCTCAGTGGTAAGAGGTCTCAACTTAAAAGAGCACAACCCTGAGCTCAACCCCAGTACTACAATTAAAAAAGATTTTCAAATTTAAACGTGTCAGTTAAAGTCGGTTTTTTTGTCATTGTTTACTTGTCTGCTACGATGTAAATGTTATTATTACATGCTTGAACCGTATTACTTTGGAGGAACCAATTCTGTTTGGTTCAGTTGTTGGGCGTTTCACCTCTACAACCCACATGTTGCCGTTGTTTTCAGATGCACAAATCAAGATCTGGGTCTTTACAAGCCCTAAACAGAGACTTCTAACACAAAGTTAATCCGAGGCAGCAACTAAAGTAAGTGTTTTTACAGATCTGGGCACTCCATAAGAAGAAGCTGAGACTTAGGCTTGATGGGAGTGAGTGGAAAGCAGGATGGTGAGTGAGATGGGAAGTTCATTTCTCTTTGACGTTTTCTTAAAGTCTCTGGGTGACCCTTCTTCTCAGATGTAAACGGAAGGATTGGACTACCAGGGTTTCTCTGTATTCTCCATTGCTTTACCGCCTTGTGGAATGGATGAGATTTAATAAAATTTCGTTTTCTTGGTGGTTACTTAGGGTTCAACTCAGGTGCTCAACACTTCAGCCACTCCACCCGCCCTGGATAGGGTTTTAAATAAGAAGCGGTCCCATGTGGTGGATCACATTCTATAATCCCGGGCCCTCAGGAGGCTAAGGCGGGAGGATTCACGAGTTCCAGAACACCCTTGAGCTACGGGCATAATTGGACCCTTTTTTTTTTTTTTAAGTTTTGTAAGTGGGAGGTGTGGCTCAAGCCATTAGGACAAGCTCCGGCTTTGCAAGCCGGAAGCCCAGAGTTCAAACCCTAGTCATTCCTCCCACCCCCCAAAAGCACACGGTTTTGTATGTGAACTCCTCACACACAACCTGTTAATGTTGGCCTCATTTTTCCAAAGATAAAGGACTGGTCATTGGCCCCAAGCATCCCGGAACCTGCCAGAGCTGCTTCTCAAGAGGGTCAGGACCTTGGGTGGACAGATGGGAGAAAGGCAGGAAGGTCAAAGGGCCGGGAACTTCAATCACAAGGCTCTTAATCCTTTATTTAGGATGAAGGAAGGCGGTCTTGGAGCAGGTGGGATGTGAGCGTTGGGGTGGGGACTCAAGCCCGTGGCAGTTCAGGGCGGGAACGCCCCGCCTCCCTCCGCAAGACTGATGGACCAGGCAATGGTGGAGAGGAAACCCAGCCATTCCTGGGAACCTCTGGGCCGGGCTGGGCGACGTCACGTGACCGAGCGCCCCGCCCCGCCCCCGCCCAGCGCGCACGCGCGCCGCTCCGGGCGCTGAAATTCAAATTTGAACGGCCGCCGAAGACCGAGTCTGACACTGGAGGCTGAGAGAAGAGGAGAGTTGGTTGTGGGAGAAGTCCCCTGCCCGGACTCCAGGAGCTACATTGAGCCCAGACTCACTTCTTTTCTTTTCCTGAGTTTGAACCACCGTTTCCATAGTCTCGTTGTGCACACACGACGCCTGGGGCGATGGACCCGTTTACAGAGGTGAGAAAATTTGCGGGCGCAGTCCACCATGACCCCTCTCGGCCCCCACCCCTGCCTTCCCTCCCTCTCTCCGTCACCCTCTGAGCCCACCGGCGGGGAGCGCGCGCGCGCCTGCGCAATGCGTGCGTTCCTGCGCGCGGGGTCCGCGCGGGCCTCGCGGGACACTGCAGGGTCTGGTTGGGGAAGGCGAGGGCGGTGAGCGGCGGCCGTGTCCTCTGCGTCTTGGGCTCTTCTGCGATCTTGCAGTTGTTTCTTTGCTACAGACGCAAGTCTGGGAGGAAAGCTGTGAGTCTCTTAAAAAGCGATAGTGCAGAAAGTCCTGGCACCCTGGTGACTGTCACGCCCCTGTGGAGCGCTCTTGCATTCCGCCTGTCCCGGAGAGGAAACTTGGGGCCTGATGGAACAGGTCCTGCTAGAAAAAGCTGGAAAACTTGCAGGGTGGAGTCTGGTGCCCAATGACTCAGGTTCTGTGTGCGCCCGCCCCCGGAACCTGCAAAGGCAAATGTGCGGGCTTCCCGCGTCTCTCCTGCACCTAAGATCTGTTAACCAAATGACAGCAAAGCGTGCAAGAGCAGGTGCTGGAACCATCGCGTTCTTGCCTGGGTGTCAGTGCTCCTCACACCTCATGCTCTGTAAGCTTCACAAAGCTCCACCTTCGGCATTGACACTTTCATGAGAAGGTAGTAGTGCTAAGTAGCCCAGGGTGTACACGCTAAAAAAACTAGAGAAGTAAAACCTTTCCGTGTATATGGAGCCTGACACTCCAACAATACCTTCCTCATGCTTTCTTCTTTGAGAATAGAATATGGATGACATCGTTATTGTGCTTCATGTTGAACGGACGTTGACACATTCAGGGGTTTCATGTTGCTGGTTTGTCCACTCCCTTTTTTTGCAGGACAGTTCCTCTTTTCTTTATTCCTTTTTAATTAGGCTGTTGTGCAAGTTTCAAACTGTTAGGTTTTGAGTTGTTGCCAAGTGGGCTTAAAAGTGTCTCAACACTAGATTGAAAACTTAAATACTATAAAAAGTAATAATACATTCTTTGGAGGGAATTTAGTAACAATTCCATAAATTAACGCTAAGATATTAAAGGTTTCGAATATTAGAGTTTCCTTGTATTCAGACACTGTGGTTATCTTTTTTTTTTTTGTTTCACATTCTCAGTTATCTTGGGGAAAACACATTTTGTTCGCACACTTAAAGATTCTAATAGGAAAGTTCAGGACATAGTTTGAATTATCTTTAGAGAATAGGGCTGGTCATCATCAAATAGTCACATTGAAATTAAAAAGGATAGTTTATGTTAGGAATGCAGAATAGAGTTCCGTGCTATGTGTTCTCCTTAGTAGTGATCAGAAACAAAGCAGTTAAAAAACTGGCTGAAAAAATTGTGCTTGATTTTAGTTAAAACTGTCATTCTGAAATCTCAAATGAAAGAAACTTCCTGTTTAGACCATTTTAGAATGTGCTTAGCAACATGCCTGGTTTGAGATGTACAGTTCATATTGTGACGAGTTAGGTCTACTGCAGTTGGAATAGCAGCTTTGCCATCTTTTCCTTACTTGGTAATGAGTGAACTGTTTGAATTGGTTCCAACTCAATTTGAATGCTTAGTGATAGCATTCAAAACATTTTTGCACTGTGAAATGAACTTCTGGTTACAGTCAGGTCCTTTCTCAAAACTATGCAACACCGGAAGTTATTTGAGAGATTATTTTCTCAATTTTCCTAGTGCCATTTTACAAACATTAATGTCATTTGTTACGTTAATGCTAGGACACTAGGGCTCAAAGTCCTGTCATTATTGTGTCTTATTTTCCAATTACGTTTCATTTTTTGCCTCTGCTGTTTGAAGAAGGTGTAATATTTGAAGGAGGGTACTTTATATTTAGAAAAATCCTTAAAATCCTGCTATATTATGAGGAAGGTCTACTAAACACTTACTGAGCAGTTGAGTTTATATAGTTTAGATACATTATTCTAAATTAATAAGCTTTGATGCTTATTAGCTTTATTGGAATTTTTTTGCTTATCTTTAATATTTTAAATCTGGGAATTTTTGAATCTAATGTAAACAATTGAACACTTGTGTGTTTGAATGGCAAAACCACATTCTTTTGTTGTGACCCATTGCTCATGGTAACTGAAGCTATACTGACTCACAAGTATTCTAACTGACGAGAATGGAATGTGGGCATGTCCACGAGTGAATATTTTAGTCTAGCTTTTTTTTGTCTGCAGAATAATGTCCTGGGGAAAATTGTATCAGACTTCATGAATTTGTGTAACAGTCCTATCACTTTGATTTGTTGAAGACATATTTAGAGGATGAAGGTCTTGTGTTTTAGAAGGCTTTTGGCTCATAAATTACTCTTTTAATGACAGCCTTCTGATTTTGTGTCATTTCTTTCAGTGCACTTTAAATAATAATTTCTAAGAAGAATAAAGAGTTGTTTTCTTCTAAATTTCACTCATGCTCCCTTTGCATGTTTAGAGAATTTCTTTAAAGTTATTCTACTGTAAAGAATTAAAAAGGTGGAATGTAGTTTAACTCCTCAGTCTGTACATTGTATCTGTATGTGCAGGACAGTAGTGATCTGCATTCCTCATTTAGTTGTGTATATTTGAAAGAGGATAAATTGTTTTATGCCATACTCATTCAAATAGGAACATCAGTTCATAAGAGTAAGCAGAAGGAGTATTCGTGGTTTTTTGGAATGTCTACAATTTTAAACTAAAACTATTTTATTATAAATTAATATTTAATTAAGAAAAAAGAATGTGCCTTATGAAAGGACTAGTATGTCAGTTAACTTGCTGCTTGCTGCCACCTCAAATCAGGGTGGTCATTAAGTGAGTCTTGATTTAATTACTTAGATTTCATTTTAAAATGTATTTAACTGTTATCTGTACAGGAATTGTTGATTTTAAAAGACACCTGAAATTAGGCGACCCTTTGGCTAACCGTGTGTTTTTTAACACTGACATTATAACGTAGAAACTGCTTGAACGAACCCGTGCCAGAAGAGAGAATCTTCAGAGAAAAATGGCTGAGCGGCCCATAGCAGCACCGAGGTCTGTGGCACATGCAAAGCGAGTCAGAGAGCCACTGTCAGAAGCAAGTAACCAGCAGCCCGTGTCTGGTGGTGAAGGTAAAAAGCTTTGAGGGGGAAAATGAACAATTCTTTTGAAGGACATAAACCCAGACATTTCATTATGCATGTAGAATAACCCAGGTCTTTGGAGACAAATGGTCTCACCTCTGAACCAGTTCTTGAGGGCTAGGCTTGAAGTTTAGGTTTTAACTCTTCAGAAATGAGGGAATTCACACATACATACATTCTGTCTCTCTCTCTCTCACACACACACACACACACACACACACACACACACACACACATATCCAATCTTGCTTGTAATCTTATCCTATTCTTTCCTGAATTCTGGCATTCCCAGCCTGTATCAGCCAACTGTTTTGTTTTTTATTTCCTGGAGTGTGAAATAGTCAAAAGATAATAATATAGTATAATCTTAAAATACTTATCTATAGAAAAATAACCATTACATAGGGTAAAAGCCAATGTTACAAAAAAATCAGAAAAGCGACTACAGGGCTGTCTCAGTTATTTTAGAAGCTAATCATAGGAGAATTATTTACTTTCATGTATTTATACATTCCAGGGCAGTATATTACATATTATATAGCATTCAGCCAGGAACATAGGGACCTGGCTGCAGTCTAGGATGTATTTTTCACTGTGACATAGGCTTGTGTTATTGAGTATTATGTACTTGAAAACTAGTGTTCCAGTACTTCATTTGGGTACTTAAATGGAAGTATTTATTGTTTTATGAAAGAACTGTAAACTTGTAGAAGTCTATAATTCCAGGTGATATTGCAAACTAAAATAGGAACACTTTTAAAAAAATGGTTAGATGAGCTCATAGAAGATAGATTCATGAGTTATAAAAGATTAGAAAGTTTCAGGATGTGTATTAGTTGGTATTTATGAGTGCAGTCTTGGCTTTCCAATAGTATCACTTTGGTCACTTCCAGAACAGAACACTCAGACAGTAATGAAACTGACCTTATATGAAATTCACATTATTACTTTTTTTTTCTTTGTTTTTTACATTGTTACTTTTAAACTAAGTTTATTTATTTATTTTGCGGTACTGGGGTGGCTTGACCTCAGGGCCTCCACCTTGAGCCACTCCACCGGCCCTATTATTTTTGAAGGGTTTTTTGAGATATGATTTCATGGAACTGTTTGCCTGGGTTGGCTTTGAACCATGATCTTCCTAATCTCTGCCTCCTGATCAGCTAGGATTTCAGGCATGAGCCACTGGTACCTGGTGTAAATTTATTTTTTGAGATAGGGTCTCATTATGTAGCCCAGGCTGGGCTTGAACTTACGATCCTCCTTCACTCAGCCTCCTGAGTGCTGGAATTACAGGCATGCACCACTGCATCTGACTAATAGTTTGTTACTTATTTTTTCATTTTTGTGGTGCTGGATATTAAATATAGGACCTTGTGCATATTTGGGAAGTGCTCTACTACTGAGCTATATCTGTAACTCCTTACTTTTAAAAATACTAATTTTCCAGAAATTATGTTAATACACATTCCTGGAATGTGTATTATGCCTTGTGTTCAAATAGTTCTTTTCCTTTGCTTCTCCTTTTCCACTTTCTCTTTCCTTTCCTGCCCTGCCCTGTCCTGTCCTGTGGTTTGAGCTCAGGGGCCTTGCACTTGCTAGACAGATAGGTACTCTGCTACTTGAGCCATACTCCCAGTCCTTTTTTGCTTTAGTTATTTTTCAGATAGGCCTGGCTTGCAGTTGGGATTGCAGACTCCAGTCACTACGCCCATCTTATTGGTTGAGATGGGGTCTTGTAACTTTTTACCCAGGCTGGCCTCAAGCTCAAAATCCTCCTGTCTCAGCTTCCTATGTGTTGGGATTACAGAGGTGTACCACCGTTACCAGTTTACGTATTTATATTGATTATTATTATATATTTTTTTTATTTTGGTATTGACACATAATTTAGTAGCTTGTTACATTCCCTGCTTCTTCCTTAAACCTCAAGCCAGGTGCCTGTCTATCTTGCTTATTAGTTCTTGAAAGATTGTTTCAAAGTTTTTTATTTTTTTTTTTGGTGGGATTGGGGTTTGAACTCAGGGCATCATGCTTGCTAGGCAGGCCCTCTACCACTTAAGCTACTCTCCCAGCCTCAAAAGATTATTTCAAATGAACAGAAAACCTGTTTTCTACCCTTAATGACTGAATGACTTTAGGTAGGTAACTTAATTTCTCCAGACTTGGTTTTTTTTCTAACAGGGAGGTGATTGGCTATGTGATCTTCAGTTCCTTGGAACACTTGCTTATTCTGTGTTTGCACTTTTTACTTTCTATTGCTGTAAGACTGCGTGAGGAATTATGCATGGTGACTCAAGTCTGTAATCCTAGCTACTTAGGAAGTGGAGATGGGAGGATTGAGGTATGAGGCTACCCTGGGCAAAAAGTTCTTAACCAAATGAAAGTTGGATATGGTGCCATGCGTGTGCCCTCCCAGCTATGTGAAAAGCATAGATAGTCAAATCTCAGCCCAGGCCTGAAGTGAGACTGAGATCCTATCTCAAAGATAACCAAAGCAAAAAGGGCTGGGGCATGGCTTAAGTGGTAGAGCATCTGCCTACCTGAGTTCAGTCCCCAGTACTGCCAAAAAAAAAAAAAAAATTTTGAATCTATAAATTGCATGTTCACTTAAAAAGAAGTCTTTGGTATCAGATTTCTAAGTTATGGAAAGAGAGTAGGGTTTTTACACATTTCTTATTGTGACTGAACACAAGTATTAGACAAACATGGTGTTTCATTAATTTGTTAAGTGCCTACCTCAAGTTTTTTGTGCTGTGAAAAGTTATATAAATTTGAGTGTCTTTAATTTTTTTTTTATCTAGAGAAATCTTGTACAAAACCATCACCATCAAAAAAACATTGTTCTGACAAAACTGAAGTAGAAGTTTCTGACTTGGAAAACAAACAACCAGTTGAGATGACTACTACTGCAAAATTGCGTTCTCCAAGCCCTGTGTCTCCTTGGGAGCAGCCACCAGCACCAGCTGCTGTTAGTGATTCTGTGGCTGCACCAGCATCCCTGCCGGATGAGGGAAGAGGACTGACCTCAAGGCGGGAAGCAACTGCAGGCTCCTCAGTTAAAACACGTATGCAAAGGCTTGCAGAGCAGCGGCGCCATTGGGATGATGATGCAGCAGGTATAAATGATATGGATGGTATAGTCCATAAATCTCTTCCAGTAAGATTCAGTTTGGTAGGTTGAAAATTTTATCAGCTAACACGTGAGAGGTCAATGCTGTTGTTTTATCTGTGTTTGGAATATCCTTTGCTTGCCAAAGGTTTGTGTACCAGTAGTGTAATTGTAAGCTTAATTTCTCGTTGAAGTAGGTGACGATGAGGTTCTTGGACTGGTTCACCGAAAGCTGATCTTAGAGCTGAATTACCTTCTATTTGCAGTGAGAAATTCTAGAGAACAAAGTATGCGCAGTTTTATTAGCAGTGCTAACCCTCAGCATTATATTCACGAAAGCCTATGTCACAGATTCACTCATTAAAGAAACTTGATTAAAGTATGCAGTGCTGTTTGGAAGGAGAGGGCAAAGATGTCAAAAACATTAAATACCTGCAAACACTGAGTGACTAGGCCCTTGCTTTTCATGTACCCGTAATCAATGGGGAGCCTGAGAAGTAAATCAGCAATTATGTGACAGGGTTATTCTTTTTTTTTGAGGTACTGAGGCTTGAACTCAGGACCTTCACCTTAAGCCACTCCACCAGCCCTATTTTTGTGAAGGATTTTTCAAGATAAGGTCTTGCAGAACTATTTGCCTGGGCTGGCTTTGAACTGTGATCCTCCTGATCTCTACCTCCTGAGTAGCTAAGATTACAAGCGTGAGCCACTGGTGTCCAGCAGGGTTATTCATGCTGTGATTAATTTTATTTATTTCCTGACTTGTTACAAAAAAGCTTGAGATGACTTATAAAAATACCTGGTACAAAATAAGGAAATCAGAATGAAGAGAAGATATGGAAAGTTAAAACAAAGAAGTAAAAGTTAAAGGTAGTTTATTAAATATAGGCCATAAGGTTCTTTTCTTTCTAGCAGCTAATGCAAAAAGCAGAAATACTATATCTGTGATCTAATCTTTATAACCTAGGAACAACCCAGCCATCTTTGGCACCAGCTTATGAACTTTCTTTCATGTGTCCTCAAAGATGACTTTGTTGAGGGTAGTAAACCTGTAAGATTTCTCAAGGTAAGCAGATGGCCTGGCTCCAGACTCAGTTCAGTAGGGATCCAGCACAATGTAGGTAAACAGCTCAGGGCAGGTAGACAACTCAGTGCAGGCAGACAACCAAGTACAAGTAGAGTAGACTGCTTGATGCAGGTGATAGCTTAGTGTAAGTAGCTTGATGACTAGTTGGCCATGCTCAAGGAAGCATTCCTTAATCTGTGGTTCTCAGCCTGGCACATGTGTCTCCAAGTAACTCAGACGTTTGGATTCAAATCTTAGAATCGTTGTGGAGCCCCAGGGTGTGGTTTTGTCTGTGGTTTTAAAAGGTGTTTACTTCTTTTTTTTTTTTTTTTTTTAATTCATGTGTGCATACAATGTTTGTGTCATTTCTCCCCCCTGCCCCCACCCCCTCCCTTACCCCCCAACCCTCTCCCTCTCCCCCCCCCACCCCTTTGCTACCCGGCAGAAACTATTTTGCCCTTATCTCTAATTTTGTTGAAGAGAGAGTATAATCAATAATAGGAAGGTACAAGGGTTTTTGCTAGCTGAGATAAGGATAGCTATACAGGGAGTTGACTGACATTGATTTCCTGTGCATGTGTTACCTTCTAAGTTAATTCTTTTTGAACTAACCTTTTCTCTAGTTCCTGGTCCCCTTCTCCTATTGGCCTCAGTTGCTTTAAAGTATCTGCTTTAGTTTCTCTGCGTTCAGGGCAACAAATGCTATCTAATTTTTTAGGTGTCTTACCTATCCTCATACCTCCCTTGTGTGCTCTCGCTTTTATCATGTGCTCATAGTCCAATCCCCTTGTTGTGTTTGCCCTTGATCTAATGTCCACATATGAGGGAGAACATACAATTTTTGGTCTTTTGGGCTAGCTGTTTACTTCTGATGCATAGCCAGAATTGAGACTAAGTGATCTGAAGAAATGGATGAGCCACTAATATTTCAAGCATTCTTCCATTACTATGAATTTTTTTTTTTGGTCGTGGCACTGGGGTTTGAACTCAGGGCCTCATGCTTGCTAGGCAGACGATCTACCACTTGAGCCACTCCTTCAACATTATGACATTTTTTTAACTGAAATTTTGCTAAGTAATGGGTGGTAGGGAGTGTAAGATTCTGTTTTCTGGTAGTGGCAATAATAATCTCAAGAGCAAATAATACTGTGTAATGTGCTCAGCATTGTAAATAGTTTTAACACAGTATATTTTTATTCTAATAACATTTAATTCTTACAACAATCTTATGAGATCTGTGCTACATTTATCTTTATTTTATAGAAGAGGAAACTTGATTTAGAAACTTTAAGAATCCTGTCCAAGTTGGCCTGCTAAAATTCAAACCCTAACAGTTTGACCCTTAGGGCTCCTCAACTGCTGTGAACCTGCTTGAATCTTTTTTTTTTTTTTTTTTTTTGCTACATGACAGAGCATAGATAGTTTATGGTGTCATTTAATACCTATTCATTTTGGTATAGGGTGAGGTTAAGCATATTTTCCTTTTAAAGCCTGAGAGTTTAATGAGTAATTGTGCCTGAACAGATGGATGCTCCATTTCTGTTTCACCTTTGGGGAGCAGAGGGCAGCTCTTTCTTAATTAAAAAGAAAAAAGAGTGTTATAGTTTAACACATGGTCACAAGAACAAGCAAGCCCCTAGACATTCTAGAGCATAAGGCACTGCAGTGATTTTGAATATTTTGAAAGCAAATGTTACCAAATGTCTCACTTAGGCACCACATCCTCTTTGATTTTAAGAAATAAAACTCAGGAATTAAGTGTTGGTAATGAATGACAGAATGAATGCTAAACATGACTATGGGAAAAAGCCAGTTAAATGTTTGAGGACTTACACTAAAATATAATTTATCTGAACACAGCCTTTCATCTTTCTTTCTAACAGAAGAGTTAGAAGAGCCAGAAGTCTATTAAGCCTCTTGCTAAAATGTTATAATAAAACTGTGACCTGCCTACAAGCAGGGCTTATTGTAAGGAAAATGATACAAGTATGCAAAAAGGTATTATAGGGAAAGTGATGGTCAGGGAAACTTCTGGAGAAAGGAACAGGCAGTAAGTGGGACTGTGAAAGACAGCTGGCTTTAGATTATGGAATAATCTAGACAGAAAAGATAGTGTATAAAAAGAACAAAGGCAAATAACATGAACATAGTCTGTGCATAATGAGGTGGTAGAAAAGCAAGTGATAAATTTGCAAAAAGCAGTAGGGTCTGGATTGGATTTAACCAAGAGGTGATAGGGAGATACTAGGAGAGTTCAAAGCATTACAACTGTTTTGCAAAGATGATTCTGGCTTCAGAATTGAGGGACTGGACAGGGCAGGGATTTGCAGCAGGGAGGTCAGTTAGAAGGCTAAAGCTATAATCTAGTTCATAATTTTGAAGGCCTGTGGACATATGGAGGAGAGATTTAGGAAAAACAATCTATGGGACATAATGACTGGATTTCTGGTCCTGGTAACTAGTGGTTAGTGATGCCATTTTTACTAAAAGGAGGAGGAATAATATGTTTAGGAGAATTTCAAATTCAGATATGTTATTTGGGATGCCTGTGGGTGATCTAAGTGGAGGTAGTGGCATTTGGTAGACCGTGAAGAATAGGTCATAAAGACAAGCTCATAGAGAGTGATAAATGGAAGAGAAGTGATATGTGTTGGGTGTGTGTGTATGTTTAAAATTTATTTAGTGTTATGGGATTTGAACTCAGGGCCTTGTGCTTACTTGGCAAGCACTCTACTATTTGAACCAGGCTCTCAGCCCCAGAAGTAATATATTTGAGTGAAGTTGAGAAATTAAAGACCTGAGAAGTATGGCCTGGTGTCCAGTGGCAGTGTCAAAACCAATTTAAGGGCAGTGGTGTAGGCAGTAGGCCAGCTGAGTGGTGAGGAAATATGTGAATGGAAAGAGGCAGCAGCACGAGGGTGAAGGCCAATAAGGAGATGCTTATTTTTATTTTTAAGGTATCAGGGACTTGAGCATTTTTATGGGTAGAGAAGAGTTTGTAGAGAATAGAGATAGAAAGGGAGATTGGACAGAGGGAGGGATTTCTCTTCCTAGAGTGAGTTGGTGGAATAGGAAGTACTGTGAACCTTGGTTTCTCCATGTACATACTCTGTAGGTGTACAGGCCTAGATCCATCCGTTTGGGATTTATGTCTAAGTGAAATAACTTAAGAAAAACGTTTGGTTTGGTCTAATCCTGTGCTTCCCCAACAGTGGCCACTATATATATAACTATGTTTAAATTAATTAAAATGAAATGAAGTTTAGTTTCTCTGTTACCCTAGCCACATTTCAGGTCCAAACTAGCCACATGTGGCCAGTCATTACTGCTGAACAGTACAGATTCAGGACAGCTCCATCATCATAGAAAATTCTATTGTATGGCATTGGTCTAATTCATTTTTAAAACAAAAAGGTCTGTGTGTGTGTGTGGGGGGGGTTATACAATTTTAAATTATTCAGTGTTGCAATAGCATGAATTAATTCTAAAAATGAAACCTAACAAATAGTATCTTAGCATTCATAATCTATCAAAAATTGAGAAAACTAGATGTACACAGTGTTTTCTTTAATTTGGATTAAGTATCATTTGATTTGGAAAGATTGTCAAATTTAGTTTGGTATTTCATATATAAAAGTGCTTTTTACTGGTTCTTAAATCTATTAATATCATTTGAAAATTCTGTATAAGTGATCCTGTTATTGTACCTCAGTATAACTCTTGAGCATGGTTTTTAACTTTTTCTGAAAATTTTTCAGATGATGTACTTGAAAACTCCCACTTCTCACCAATGCCATCTGAGGAGAAGGCTGCCTCCCCTCCTAAGCCACCCCTTTCAGAGGCCTCAGCTACCCCGATTGGGAGGAGGGGGCGTCTCGCCAACCTTGCTGCAACTATTTGCTCCTGGGAAGATGATGTAAGTTACTCATCTGCAAAGCAAAACAGTGCACCAGAACAGCCTGGTACCACTTGTTTATCCAAATTTTCCTCTGCAAGTGGAGCATCTGCTAGGATCAATAGCAGCAGTGTTAAGCAGGAAGCTACATGCTGTTCCCAAAGGGATGGTGAGGCCTCTTTGAATAAAGCCCCCTCCGTGAGCGCTGCTGATGAGTCCCGTTCTGTGGTGAGTCAATATCATTTTAGTCTTTGGAACCTTTTTCTTTTTTGTCGTAATAATTATATATGTATGTAGGTATGTATTTTATAGTATATGCATGGTGTATTTCTGTGTATTTTTAGAATCTGCATCTCATGAAAAGTGAAAACTGTATAAGTTTGGTTACTTACCTCAAGATAAATTAGTATTTTGAAACTTATTTAATGCAAATCTAAAGTATATAATAATGGAAAGATAGAGCCTCATTTTGGTCATCAACAGGAACTCTACAAAACAATTCCTCCATTACAATGCTTTTATGGATAGTCAATATAAAATATTGACTATTTGTGAAAATACATAATAAACTAGTAGCTGTTGTTGTCTCCAGGAAGGCAAATTGCCAAGCATAAGTGTCAGGGCGACACTTTTCACTGTGTATCCTTTTGAAATGTTTGCAACTTTCACTTTGCATGTGTCACCTCAGTTGTCTTAAAAAAAGCAATCTCAAAGAAGCGAAAAGGAGAAAGAATGTTGTGCTCCTGACCATGATCTTTTAATGTCGACAGAGGCTTTGGAATTAGAATTGCCTTCAATTATAGCTCTGCCATATAACTAAAAGTGTGACTATGTACAAATTACTTCATTGTGTAAAGCTTTAGTTTTCCATATGTAAAATGGGGAGAAAGGCTATTGGGAAGACTAAATGAGGCAATGTGTATAAAGCACTTAGCATAGTGCCTTAGGTACATCATAAGTACTCAATGATTTGCTGTAATTAGGCACCAAGTACATGACTGTCCCTAATCTGAAAATATGAAATCTGAAATCCAAAATCTGAAACTTAGCCCAGTGGGGTGGTTTACACCTATAATCCCAGCACTAGGGAGGCTGAAGTATGAGGATCATGAGTTCAAGGTCATCTAGGCAACAGAGCTAGTTTGAGGCCAGACCTGCTTCAAAAAACACAAGAACCTGAAACTAATAAATGGCAGCATGATGACACAAGTGGAAAATTCCACACCAAGAAACTGTTTCAGGCATGAAATTACTAAAAATATTGTATAAAGTTACATTTATGTTATGTGTCTGAGGCGTCCATGAAACATACAAGTTAGTTTTGTGTTTAGACTTGGTCCTTGACACCTGTGATAACTCATTACTGATATTCCAAAAATCTGAAAAAAATCTGAAATGTGAAACAGTTTGGTTCTAAGCATTTCAAATAAGGCATACTCAATTTATATATTGTTGAGTTGATATTAACTTAATTAAAGTACAAATAAAAATGTAATTTGACCCAATGTAGTTAAAAATGTAATAAATCTGTACTAGTGCAATAGTATAGTAAAAGTTTTATAAAATAGGGGTGACCCTATCCCTAACACTTAGTGAGCCATCATTATATTACATAGACGAAACTACATACTATAACTTAAACAGTAGCATTTGTTTATTTATTTATATTTGCAGTACTGAGGCTTGAACTCAGGGCCTTCACCTTGAGCCACTCCGCCAGCTCTATTTTTGTGTAGGGTTTTTCAAGATAAAGTCTTGTGGATCTATTTGCCCATGCTGGCTTTGAACTGCGATCCTCCTGATCTTTGCCTCCTGAGTAGCTAGGATTACAGGCGTGAGCCACTGACACCTGACAATAGTAGCATTTTATAAGTTGATTTTTGTTTTCAAATCATTCAATTTAGTTTGATCTGTTAGTGAGCAGAACAGTTTTTTTCCATGTGTTTTACACAAAGGCTACCAAGTAAATAGGATCAGAATTGTTTTGTTATAAGACTACTTCTAGACATGATGTTATTGTTTACCCTAACTGTTGTCATGTTTCAGAAAGCTACTTCTTCCCCAGTGAAATCTTCTACATCCATCACCAGTACTAAAAATTCTGAGCCACTTCAAAAAACTCCTGTTAGTCCTCTGAAAACAGAGGTATCAAAACCAGTTGTGAAGTCGGCTTTATCCCAGACAGTTCGGTCCAAAGAAGTAAACAGAGAAATTTGTCTGCAGTCTCAATCCAAAGACAAATCTCCAACACCAGGTTATGTATTTAAAAAAAAAAAAAATCTAATGTTACTGTTGACTGTATCCGAAATATCTGTTCTTAGCATTGTAAATATCCAATTGTGAATGGTTAGAGTGTTGATTTGCTGGGGCAAGTACCTGAGTGTTCTAAATGAGACTTCTCATTGAGCTTCAGATGATCAAATTAGTATTCATTAGGTTAAACTAGCCCATCAGCTGGTAAAAGTATTTAGCCTATTACATTTTAACAATTTAAACTTGCTTTGTCTAGGATGATCATGCTAGATACTTGTATATTTTTTGATGCAGAAAAGCACTGACAACTGGAAATCCCATTATAGGGCATAGTGGAGAACCATTCTTATAACCAAGTATGCAGCACAGTGCTTCTCAATTTTCAACCTGAAGCCACTCCAGATAGCAGAGAAAAGTGAATGTGTATACAAATAACTGCACTCCTAATTACATTCACCTGTGTACATACTTTGTGTGGATGCATACAAATAAGAGTTCTTAGTTCTTGCCATAGTGAACTGATGCTCCATGAAGTGCTGTATTTATCTTGTGGTACATTGCACATACTGTTGCATACTAAAAAGTACGCAAATGTATGGTGATAGAGTTTACTTTGAATTTTATTCTTTTTCACTGGAAAAATTGCTTTAATTTTAAATTTTAACTTCTTGAAAATACAATCTTTCCAGAAATTATAGCTCATTATAAAGGAAGTAGACAGAATGGGAAGCCACTAGTTATGGAGTAAGTAGGAAGCAGCAGTCAATTTGTAGGTGAACCAAAATAAAATCTGTAAACAAGGGTGAGGGGTGGGTATAGTTCAGATAGAGCACTTGCCTAGCATGTAAGAGGCTCTGAGTTCAATCAGAAACAGCACAAATTAAAAAACAAGGAAACAATCGCACCCCACATAGGATAGGACTAGTTATTCTCAATTTTCTAAACACTTAAAGACCTAGATCAGAAGCATTCCTTTTATTATTATTATTTTAAATGGTAGTACTAGGGTTTGAACTCAGTGCCCTGCATTTATTAGGTAGGTGCTCTATGACCTGGGCTGTGCCCCCAGCCCTTATTATAATTGATTACTGGATATAGTTAAAATCATATTGCCAGGGCCTCAGAGAGATTTAATTTACCTGTTTATTTTTGTTTTTAATGGACTTTGAATGCTTTTAATTGATAGATAACATGAAGTGGTAATAAGTGACAGGTAGAGTCCTCAAAACTATGGGCGCAGATCAAATTCTGCCTTTTGCTTTTTTTTTTCTTCAAATAAAGTTTTTTTTTTTTTTTTGTGGTACTGGGACTTGAACTCAGGCCTACACCTTGAGCCACTCCACCAGTCCTTTTTTATGTTAGGTATTTTTGAAATAGGCTCTTGTGGAATTAATTGCCCGGGGCTGGCTTTGAACTGTGATCCTCCTGATCTCTGCCTCCTGAAGAGCTGGGATTACAGGCATGAGCTACTGGTACCCAGCTCAAATAAAGTTTTACTGGAACAGCCACATCCATTTATTTACATATCTTCCTGTGGTTGCTTTCATGCTATAATGCAGAGTTGAATAGTTGTGACAGAGGCCATATGGCTCTTAGAGCCCCCAAATATATCCTGCTATTTACAGGAAAGTATTTGGCACCCTCTGATATAGATAAGCCTGTTTTGGTATAATACACCTGTATAATTCTCTTGATTCAAGAGGTGATATGTATACCCCATTTCCCTACTGTGACTGTACTTTATACTGTATCACATAAGTACAATTCTAAGACTGTGAAATAAAGGCATCCCTTTAATGAAGCAGATAACTCATGATTTTTCTTTTGAGGGAGAAGAAGGAAAAAAATGCCAGATTTTCTTATTTTAGACTTTGTAAAAGCAAGATAAAATAAATTGGACTGTAGAAATGTAAACAGAAGTTAATGTAGCCAGAAACTTACTGTTTAAGGTGGATTCATTAATTCACCAGCATTTGATTTCTAATCACTTAAATTCTGATTGTTTGGTGTGAGAGTTGTCTCTCATTCTTTGTTGTTGTTTTTTTTGTTTTTTTTTTTTTTTTAGTACTCAGCTTTAAACTCAGGACTTTAAGCTTGCTAGATAGGTGCTTTACTGCTTTAGTCATATCTCCAGCCCAGTTTGAGAGTTTTCTAATCACTGCCTTCTCATTTTACCTTAAAAGAAAAAAAAATTTTTTTTAAATTTCCTGTTGTGCTGGGAGTTGAACCTATTTTGCATACTTTTGTACTTTATCATTAAACTACATCCTCAGCCCAAATTTTTTTTTAAACAACTAAATCCTATAAGTAAATTTAAGGACAAGTACTTAAATAGAATGATATGCTAATATTTTGAACTATCTTCATACTTTTTTTTAACGCAAGTGAATATTCTTAGTAGAACTAAAGCATTTTACAACTAATGGATCTCAGAACTTTTTCCATAAAAATTATAATTATTTGAATAGACTTCAAAAATATACCTGTTTTCTGTAGGAGGAAAAGGAATTAAGCCTTTCCTGGAACGCTTTGGAGAGCGTTGTCAAGAACACAGCAAAGAAAGCCCAGCTCATAGCACACCCCATAGGACTCCCATTATCACTCCCAATACAAAGGCCATCCAAGAAAGATTATTCAAGCAAAACGCATGTTCCTCTGCTACCCATTTAGCACAACAACAGCTCAAGCAGGTATGGCTTTCTACATTTAACATTGTTTATTGCATGGTCTCAGCATGGGACCTAGAAGTCACAATGTGAATTTTAATACCAGTCTGACTGAGATGAATAGTATTTCACCCCTGTACCACTCACAGCAAATTGGAAGTAATGTCCCGTCTCCTACAATGTCTTGTATGCACAATGTGTGTCATGAAATTTTAAATGTTAAAAGTGAAGGCTGGTTGCTGCTGGCTCACACCTGTAATCCTAGCTACTCAGGTGGCAGAGATCAGGAGGATCACAGTTCGAAGCCAGCCCAGGTAAATAATTTGTGGGACTCTCGAAAATACCCAACACAAAACAGGGCTGGTGGAGTAGATCAAGTAGTAGAGTGCCTGCCTAGGAAATGTGAGGCCCTGAGTTCACACCCCAGTACCACCAAAAAACAAAACAAAACAAAACCCAAAAACATAAAACCTGAAGACAAGGAAAGTTTTAATAGTGCTTGGATATTGTTCTTAAACTGCTACTGACTCTTGTGTAAAATACTGTTTTTGATGGGTTTAGGAACGTGAAAAAGAACTAGCATGCCTTCGTGGCCGATTTGACAAGGGCAATTTATGGAGTGCCGAAAAAGACAAGAACTCAAGAAGCAAACAACTAGAAACCAATCAGGTAATGTAAATAAGAAATATAAAAGCTAACTTGGTGCCAAAGTAGTGTTGATCTAATTTGTAGTTCAGTATTGTAAAATAATTTTTAAGCAGTTTCTGGTTACAATTAAAGGTCATCTTTTCTGTTCATAAATCCCTTAAGTGAACATAATAACCCTTCTTTTTTTATGATATTTTCCTATTTCAATCAAACTCTTCACCATACTCACTGATGACTTTAAAATTAATTTATTTTATTTTTAAATTCTTTTTAATTCTTTATTCATTTATTCACATGTGCATACATTGTTTGGGCCATTTCTTCTCCCTGCCCCTCCATCCCCTCTCTCTCCCCTTACCCTCCCTTGCTTCCTGTTCTGCCCTTATCACTAATTTTGTTGAAGAGAAGACACAAGCAATAATAAGAAAGACAAAGCGTTTTTACTAGTTGAGATAAGGATAGCTATACAGAGAGAGTCCTAACATTGTAAAATTAATTTAAACAGTCTTTCATCATTCTGTTTTAAATTCTTCTTAATATTCTGTTTGGATCCTAGTTCTAAAATGATCTGTTATTTCTCAGTGATGACTGCCTCTGCATGTCATCACTGAGACCATGGGGCCATCTGCATTCCTTTCAGTTAGCAGGTACCTCCCAGACTTTTCCTTACTCCTGTCAAATTTCATTAATCAGTCTTTAACAAAATTTCTACTTATACATGTAAGCCATGTCTTTTTCACTTACATGCTTACTGCATACAAAGTATTTGTTGTTGGTTTTGACAGATCTCACTGTGTATTTAGCCCAGGCTGGCTTTGTGCTGAGATTATAGGTTTATGCCACCACACCTGTCTGGGAAGTATTTTTAAGCTAATAGAATTGTATTTACAGTGGGGGAACAACAGAAAGCAAATGAATAGTGAATGTAATCTTTATTCTTTGAGAAAGACCTACTTGGTTGATTTTGGTTTTTATTCTCTTGCTTAACAATTCACATTTCCTGGAGTTCTGACCCAAATTCACCTGCTCTGGAACATCCCTCTCCTTATATCTGTCTTTTTTTTGAGGACTGAGTCTTGTTATATTGTTCAAGTTGGTCTCAAACTCCTGGGCTCAAGTGATTCTTCTGCATCAACCTCCTTAAGAGCTGGGATTGCAGGCATGTGCCACTGTGCCTGGCTTCCTGTCCTCATATGTAGATTCAACTAAGTGCTTTGTTTTACTGATCTCACTCCTGAACTCTAGGATTGGTTGACCAGTAGAGCTTTCACGATATCTTCCCTTTGTATTCTGTCTTCCTTGTGGCTTTATTTTATATACTTCATTATCTAAAACACTCTGGGAGCTCTTCATTTACTGTGCCTTCCCACCTGTTCACTTTGAGCTTGTACATATAAACATATCCAGTGATAAGTTTTACAATCTGTCACCAAGCCACCTGTCTTCCATACTTTGCTCTGCCATTACCATAGTCGCTGCCATGGCTTTGTGTTGGAGACCTGCTTCTAGAATGGCTACTCTCCAGTCCGTCTTACCCATAACTGCCAGAAGATTTAATGTATTCACCTGCTTAGAATCTTGGAGAGCTCCCCGTAGCCATTATCAGGAAAATGTATAAATTGCTCAGCTTGACATAGAACCAATCCTCACCTCACGTCCTCCCCACTGCTCTACACAGGTGTGCTTCAGTCCTGCCCTACAGACTGCAGTTTTTCAAGTGCTGTTCCTTCTGCCTGGAGTAGGAGTAGGCTGAGAGGAGGAGCACAATAAATTTGTATTGGAAGGAAGGAAGGAAGGAAGGAAGGAAGGGAAGGAGGGAGGGAGAGAGGGAAGGAAGGAGGGAGGGAAGAAAGAAGGAAGGGTGGGTGGGTGTTGATCTTTGCTGTAGGCATGCAGCTAACTACTATCTGTGTCTTCAAGATAGCTCTCTTAGGCCAGGTATGGTTGTATATGTCTAAATCCAGCACTTGGGGGCGCTGAGGCAGGAGGATCACAAATTCAAGGCCAGCCTGGGCTATCTAACAAGACCCTGGCTCAAAAAACTACAACCAACCAATCAAACAACAACTCCTCCTCCCCACCTAAAAACTACAGGTCCTCTGCCCTGCTTTCTTTGTTCTTTTTCTTGCAAACTCTTCCACAGAGGTGTCTCTATTTGCTGCTTCCAATTTTTGTCTTCCCTTCTTTCTTGAACTCTCTTTACTACTCCCTACATGGACCCCCACCCTTATCAAGCTCACCTGATTCAGGGTCAGTTTTTAGTCATTTAACTTGACTGTTTTGCAGCATTTGACATCATTGACTACTCTTGTGTTTGAAGACTTCGACTTGACTGTCCACATGTCATATTTTCATGCTTTCCCTCCTGTGCCTCTGGAGAGAACAGGGCAGTGGTTCTTAGACTACTCTGTAGTAGATAGTTCCTGTGAAGCCTGTGAGGTTCCTCTCCAGACAGTGGCACGTATACATATGAACAAAATTCCTAGCACAGTAACAGTGAGCTCAGTGATTGCCCCCACAAAACCATTTGTGGTCCCCATGGCCAAACAGGTTGGAGGAAAATGCAATTAAGTGTGACATTATTAAAGTCAAGGGAAGAAAGAACCTTTTAAGGAGGAAGGAGGGGTGGGTATTGTCAAGTGTTGTCAAATGTGACTTGAACTGAGTCTGCTGGGTTTTGAAGTAAGGAGTTTGCTGTTATAGGACAGGAGCAGTTTGGGGAAAGTGGTGAGGGTAGTATGTCAATAGTATCAGGCTGAGAAGCAGGTGGACGTGAAAAGCAGAGTCGGTGAGTGTAGGCCATTCTTAGGAGCTTGGTTCAAAGGGGAAGGAGAAGGGAGGTCGTGGCCACAAGGGATGAAGACACAAAGTATGGCTTGTTTTGATCTGAGACTCAACTCAATTTTAGTGTTGACAGAACGCAAATAACAAGCAAGATTTAGAGAAGTTAAATTTAGGAGAAAGAGGTGATAATTGAAGGAATGAAATGAGAGCAGATGAACTCGCGGGAGGACAGTGGGGTAGAACCAGTTAGGACAATCTAAAAAAAAAAGGAAAACTGTAGGTACTGGTGGTGTTAGGGCTATGATGTAGCTGAAAATGGATGGAGTATTTGTCTTATGGTGACTGTTTTGTTCATTGTTAGGAGAGTGAAGGTGATAGTTTAAATGGTTCCTAGAGGATGGAAAAGAGGACTAACTCAGAAATAGAAGGAACAAGAAGTAGCATTGTAAATCAGATGGGCTCTTAGACCATAAATGTATAATGGACCCAAACTCCACAGTTGTATTTCCTGTAGGAAATTCAGGCCAAGGAGCCTGACTGTAGATTTGTAGAACTTGGACTGGTTCAGATTTGGGCTTCTGCCAAACAAGAGATATGGAAGTATGGTTGAGGTGAAGGAGTTAGTAGTGTGGTGGTTCCAGTGAAGTCATGAGATGTAGTGGAAATGTAGGAAAATAGGCAGAAACAAAAGAAGGAAAAACTTGAAATGACCAGAAGTGTCCAAGAGATTGAACAAAAACTTTGGTAGGAATTTCTGAGCAAGATCAAGGGCAAACACAACAATGGGATTGGACTTTGAGCACATGATAAAAGCGAGAGCATACAAGGGAGGGGTGAGGATAGGTAAGACACCTAAAAAATTAGCTAGCATTTGTTGCTGTTAACGCAGAGAAACTAAAGCAGGTACCTTAAAAGCAACTGAGGCCAACAGGAAAAGGGGACCAGGAACTAGAGAAAAGGTTAGATCAGAAAGAATTAACCTAGAAGGTAACACACATGCACAGGAAATTAATGTGAGTCAATGCCCTGTATAGCTATCCTTATCTCAACCAGCAAAAACCCTTGTTCCTTCCTGTTACTGCTTATACTCTCTCTTCGACAAAATTAGAGATACGGGCAAAATAGTTTCTGCTGGGTATTGAGGGGGTGGGGGGGAGGGGGAGGGGGTGGAGTGGGTGGTAAGGGAGGTGATGGGGGCAGGGGGGAGAAATGACCCAAGCCTTGCACATTCATATGCACATATGAATAATAAAATAAAATAAAATAAAAAAAAGGAATTCCTGAGCAAGAGAGCCTGGCTAGAGATCTGGTTAGGGTGGGATCTTTCGATTTGGGATTTCAGAGAAGCTGAAGCACTTTTCAGAGGATGGCTGAATTGGAGTGGTGGAGATAGTTTCTTGCTACTGAGAGGCCAAAGTGTTGTTTGGATAACTCTTGTGGCTACTGATCATCACCTCAATGAGAAATGCAGGGGGGAAAGGGTTATTAATCATTGCCAAGGAGTTGTGGGAGGTGGGAAGGTTTGGAGAGCAGAGTATAAACAGATGACTGAGTCTCAAGGGAGCTTTAAGGGGATGAATAAGGCCAGGGCAACACCAGAGACTGAAGAGGAGGCTGCTCTCATGTTGTCAGGGTTTAGAGAGAAAACTAGGGTAAGTTCTGTTCTACGAGGACTAAGAAATAGAGGGAATGTTTAGTAAAGAGGATAAAGATGTAGGGTGTTTGTTTATTATGAAAAATGATTGCTTGGGCACACTAAAGTGTTTTTGGATGCAGAAGAGTTTGACTTGGGAAGAAAGCCCAGAGCTCTCTGTGGGTGAGACTAACAAAGGAGAGAAGATGGAGGTAATGAGGTCATTAGAATAGCTAATATTTATTGAATGCTGAAATGTGCTAGCTATTCTGGTGGGCACATTAACACTTGTCAGTTAGGTAATAACATGACTTCTCCCTCTCTGGTTTTCTGGGTGAGGGAATAAAGTGTAGGAAGGTAAATCACTGTCGGAGAATCCGAGAATGGTCCAGCTGGTAAGTACTGAAATTGGAGTTCTAACCAGACCTTCTGGCTCCAGAACCTTGTCCTTTGAGTGCTCTGGTTATTCTTTGGCAGTGATCCACAGTAAAAGGAAAGGGGGCATACTTCCTCCACCCTGGGACAAGGTCTTGCTCTGGAGCCCGGGCTGGCCTCAAACTCATGATTCTCCTTCTCAGCCTCTGGGGTGCTGGGATTATAGGCATTTGATGCCAGGCCCAGCTTGTAGTTGCTTCCACCAGCACCGTAGTCATTCGTTCATTCATTTATTCAACAAATGACTGTTTACTATATATATAGCCATAAACTTTTTACTTTCAAAGGTACTCTAAACCCATATATAGCCCAGTCTGACTATGAACTCATGACCTTCCTGCCTTAGTCTCCTTAGTGCTGGGATTATAGGTGTGCACCACCATGTCTGGCAAATTTTCATTCCTTCTTGCCTTCTCATCCCTAAAATAGATTTTACCTACTGGGAATTACCAAGAATAGGAACTACCACTGAGGACCTGTGTTTTAAATAAGGCTTGGTTTCATCACATGTATTTTCTCCTATTATGAGGAAATGTATAGAATGATTAATAGCAGTAGTCTTGTTTCATTTAATAACATGTAGATAAAATCTATGGTTCTGAGAAATAAAATTTACCTCATTTGCTTTTTGCAGGAAGTTCACTGTCAGAACACTCCCTTCAAGAAACATCAAGTTGTTTCAAATACCCAGTCACTTTCAGTAACTGACAAGGCAACAAAAAATCAGACACCAGCAAAACCTTCTAATATAGAACCTACAGGTCAGTGTTTTCCATATGTACTTCAATTAGAATGTAGATTTGAGTCTAGTGTAGATTTGGAAATTGGATTAGAAAGCAGAAATGCCACTCTGCTATGAAAAGGCAGATGTATTTCTTCATTTCCACTCATTTTTCTTTTCTGACCATGCAGTGTGCCTTCTCATTAGTTCTCATTAGTTCCAGAGTGAGAACTCATATTCTCCTTTTTTCTTTCTTGAGGCAAGATCTTGCTATGTATCCCATACGGGGCTCAAACTTGAAATCCTCCTGGCTCAGCCTCCCAAGTGTGCTAGGGTTATAACCATCATGCCTGGTTGTAATTCATATGCTTTTTTTTTTTTTTTTCCTGGTATGGGGTGTTGAACCCAGGGATTTGTGCATGCTAGGCAAGTACTCTGCCACTTGAACTATGCCTACAGCCCAATAACTCATATACTCTTTTATTTTTATTTTTTGGTAGAACTAGAGTTTGATCTCTGGGCCTTGCTCTCGCAGAGTAGGTGCTTTACTGCTTGAACCACACCTCCAGTCCACTTTGCTCTGGTTATATGGGAGATGAGGTCTCACGAACTATTTACCCAGGCTAGCCTCAAACCATGATACTCCTGATCTCAGCCTTCCAAGTAGCTAGGATTATAGGGGTGAGCCACTGGCACCCAGCTAAGAACTCATACACTCTTTTGTAGGAGTGTAACTTTTTTTGAGAAACATTCAGTACTGTTGAATTGTAAAGTGTGCATGCATATGTGCTGCCAGTGGTTCTATGAGCTAGATTCATTTCTTTTCTTTTTCATTTCTGTTAGTACGCATTCATTGTACAGGGGGGATTCATGGTGCCAATTCTAAATAGCCTTACATTGTATATTGATTAGATTACTCCCACTTTCTCCCCACCACAGCCCCCCTCCTCACCCCACTTAAAGCAATTGCAAGAGGATTCATTGTTCTATGAAAGAAGAAGCCCGTATATGAAGCCCATTAACTATATTCCCTCACCTTCATCTCCTCTATTTGCCCTCTCCCTTTCCACAAGTACCCTCCCCCCATGAGCTAGATTGTTGAACTAGTATGCAGAGATAAATGTACAAAGACATTCTTTGTAGCACTGTTTATAATGGTAATAAAACTGAAGTGACCTAATTGCCCATTAATGGAAGACTATTTAAATAAATTGCATTACATCCATGTAATAAAATGTCATATAGAATGCCTGAAAAATAAGGTAGATTTGTAATGATGTTCAGTATATCATAGATCTTTTTTTTTTTTTTTTTTGGCAGTATGTAGGTTTGAACTCAGGGCACTTGCTGGGCAGGTACTCTACTACTCGAGCAATTCCCCTAACCCTTTTTTGCTTTAGTTAGTTTTTGGGTAAGGCCTTGCATTTTTGCCCAGGGCTGTCCTTAGGCAGATAACTGTACCTCCCACATAGCTGAAGTTACAGGTGCATGTCACCATGCATAGCTCTTTGGCTGAGATGGGTCTCACCTTGAAACACAGTCCTGTTGATCTCCATCTCCTGAGTAACTGGAATTACAGGTGTGTGCTGCTGTTTCTCCCCCCACCCACACACCACTCCTCTTTTGTGGCAGGGTCTTGCTATGTAGCCCTGCCTGGCCTGGAACTCATGTAGTTCAGACTTGCCTTGAACTTGTGATCCTCCTGCCTCAACCTACTGAGTGTTGGGATTACATGCATGTGCTGGGTGGTGCCACACCCATTTTATCATGGACACTTAAAATTTTTTATTTTATTTAAAAAATTTGTGGTAAAAACATGTGATAACTAGAATTTACCAACTTAGCCATTTTGAGGTGCAGTTCTCAGTAGTGTTAAGTTCATTCATATTGTCCTAGATCTCCAGAACCTTTTCATCTTGCAAAACTGAAACTGTACACATTAAACAAAGACTCCCCATTTTTCCTTCCTCCTCTAGGCCCTGATAATCACCATTCTACTTTCTGTTCCCATGAATGTGTCTACTTCAAACACTAATGAGTGGAATCATGCAGTAGTCCCTCTTTATCTGCTGGGATACATTCCAAGACCCGTAGTGCATGCCTGCAATTGCGAATAGTAACTACACTGCATAAAACTTGTTTGTTTTTCTGTATGCCCCACATGCTACCAGAGTTTTCGCGTGCTACCAGAGTTTATTTCCTTCTGTGTATTATGCTCTGGTGCCTTCATGTGTCAGTTCTTTGCATTATGGGGCCATTATTAAGTAACAAAGGTTGCTTGAACATAAGCACTGAGATACAGTGACAGTGGATCTGATTACTTAGGCATCAAAGTGACCAAAGCGTGGGTAGTATTTACAGTGTGATTTCCTGAACCAAGAGGAGGGAGTGGGGGGATTGAATGGGGAGACATGTGACTTCATCACACTACTCAAAATGGTGTGAAATTTAAAGCTTACTGTTTATTTCTGGATTTCCATTTAATGGTTTTAGACTGTGGTTGGCCACAGGTAACTGAATCTGGAGAAATGAAAGGGTGGAAAAGGGAGGACTGTTTTTGTCTTTTAAGGCTGAATAATAAATAGTCCATTGTATATACATACCATATTTTGTTTATCCAATCATCTCCTGACTGTTGAGAATAGTGTTGCTATGAGCATGAGTGCACAAATTTCTCTTTGATATTTGAAATTATGTGGATAAGTCCCCAGAAACAGTGTTGCTGGATCCATTTTTAATTCTGTTTCTTTTGGGTGGTACTGGAGTTTGAACTCAGGTCTTCATGCTTGCTAGACAGGTGCTGTAACACTTGAGCCACTCTGCCAGCCTTTTTTTTGTGTTGGGTCTTGTGGCCTGCAGGAGCTTTTGTCCTAGAAACCTAACTGGGAGCGAAGGGAGATTAAGAAAGGACAAAAGACAGAAGACACACATGTAGAAAGCTGGGGTCAGGTGGGCTGGATGCTTTGGTGGAGACACACACCAGCCTCCTCCACCTCCAGGGAGTTCATTACATACAGTAGTAAGCAAGGAGGTGGAGCAGTAGTTCTCAGGATGGTGTGACATTGTGTAATTGGGAACCTGAGATTGCTACTCTCTGAAAATAAACATCTTAGGAAAAGCAGCCATGCTGCATTTTGCCCTCACTCCATTCTGTGGCTGGGGCCATGCCAATCCCAGCCTGCAGATTATTTGACATGGCTGTGCTTATGTCAGCCTATGTCAGTCCACTCTCTCAGGCAGAGCTGTGCCTATGCCTTACATTCACCCACACTCTCTTCTAGCCTGCTCTCCACAGCTGGGTATTTTTTTTTTTTTCTTTTTTTGAGATAGGTTCACACACACACACACACACACACACACACAGCCTTTTTTTTTTTTTTGTCCCTTGCGTGGGCTGGCCTGTAATCATGATCCTCCTTATCTCTGCCTCCTAAACAGCCAGGATTACAGGCATGAGTCACCACCACCCAGCCCCATTTTTATTTTTATTTTTTTTGGTGGTACTGGGGTTTGAACTCGGCCTCATGCTTGCTAGGTAGACAAGCTACTGCTTGAGCTACTCCGCCGGCATTTTTAGTTTTTTAAGGACTCACTCTTCTGTTTTCTCTAGTGCACTGTTTTACATTCCCATCAACAGTAGTGTTCAGGATTCCAAGTTTCTACTTCTTACCAACAGTTTTTTTTTCTTTTAACTCTGTTTTTGTGTACCAACACTGTTGTTTTCTGTTTTGAGTGTTGAGTTTTGTTTTTTGGATAGTAGCCTTTTTAATGAGTAGGAGGTGATATCCTATTGTGGTTTTTATTTGTGTTTCTCAGAATGGTGGTATTGAACATTTTTTCATGTTTTTGATTACCTTTGGAGAAGTGTTCATTACTGCCAAAAAAGAGAATGTCTACTCAAATTCTTTCCCCGTGTTTTAGTTATTTGATTTGCTGTTGAGTTGTAGTTCTTAATATATTGTGTATGTTAGTTCTTTGTTAGATATATGATTGTAAACATTTTCTCCTATTCCATAGGTTGGCTTTGCACTCTGTTGATTGTATCCTTTGCTATGCAGTAGTTTTAAAATTTGGGAGGTGATGTAGATCAGTGGTAGAGCACACACTTGCCTTATCCTAGCTCCACAAAGAAAAAAGTTTTTTTTTTTTTTTTTAGTTTAATGTAGTTTTGTTTGTCTGTTTTTTGCTTTTGTTGCCTTTGCTGTTGGGTTTATATGCAGGAAATTGCACAACCCTTTGTCTCAAAGCTTTTCCCCTCTGTTTTCTTATATGAATTTTATAATTTTGAGTCTTCCCTTTGGGTCTTTAACCTGTCTTGAGTTAATTGTTATATGTGGTGTAAAATAAGGGTCTAGCTTCATTGGTTTGCATATAGATATCCATTTATTGAAAAGACTGTTCTTTTCCTCTTGAATCATCTTGAGGCCCTCAACATTTTGTTTTGTTTTGTTTTGTGTTTTTGAGAGTTCTGGGGTTTGAACTCAGGGCCTTACACTTGCTAGGCAGGTGCTCTTATTACTTGACCCACGTTATGCCCCCAGCCCTATGTTTATCTTTACACCATACCATACTGTATTGATTATGTAGCTTTGTAATAAGGCCTTTTGTTTTGTGGTGCTGATGATCAAACCTAGGGCTTTGCACATGCCACAAAAGCACTTTTTGTCACTGAGTTACATCCCTAGCCATGTAATAAGATTTGAACCAGGAAGTATGAGTCCTCCAACATTGTTCCTTTTCAAAAATGTTTTGGATATTCAGGATTCCTTTAGATTCCTTATGAATTTTAGGATGTAATTTTCTGTTTTTGAAAAAAGTGCTATTAAGATTTTGGTAGGAATTGCATTGAATCTGTAGATTACCTGGATGATGTTTATTTCTTCACAGTGTTACATCTTCTAGCCCATAAACATGAAATGTCTTTTTTTTTTTTTTTGAGATGCTAATACATACTAGTATTTTTTTCTCCTTTTTAAAATTGTTTTGCTGGGTGGGAGTAAATTGTGGCATCAAAGTATCTTTTCTTCTATTTGTTTCCTTCCTTCTCTCCCTGTCTCTGTCTTTCCCTCCCTCCCTTTCTTACTTACAGGGTCTCAATGTGTAGCCCAGACTAGCCTTGACTTCATGATCCTCCTTCCTAAGCCTCTGAATACTCCTCAGGATCTGAGTATTTGGGTATAAGCCTGTGCCACCATGCCCAGCTACATGTAATTGTTTCTGAAATTTACTTTTCAGATTGTTAAGTGTTGAGTATTGTTGAGATTGTTAATATAGAGATACTCAACTGATTTTTGTGTGTTTATTTTGCATCCTGTAACTTTGCTGAATTTATTAGTTCTACTAGTTGTTTTTTTCTCTTTTTTTTGGTAGAATTCTTAGGGTTTTCAACATATTTGAGGATGTCATCTGTTGTCAGAGATTATCTTAATACTTTTCTAATTGGATGCCTTTTACTTTTTCTTCCTTAATTGCTTTGGCTAGGATTTTCCTTTTATTTTTTTTAGTATTAGTTTGAAATCAGGGCCTTATACTGCTAGGCGGTACTCTACTGCTTGAGGCACTCCGCCAGTCCTGGCTAGGATTTTCAGTACTATGTTAAATAGTAGGAATGAGAGCAGGCATCTTCACCGTGTTTCCAATTTTAGAAGAAAAGGTTTCAACTTTTCACCATTGAATATAATGTTTGCTGATGCTTTTCATGGATAGACTTTATTGTGTTGAGGCAGTTTCTTTCTAGCATTAGTTTTTGAGTGATTTTGTTGACATTTCTTTTTTAAATGTGAAAAACAGCATGCAGAGCAGTATGTGCAGAATGATTACCTTCTGGTAAAACAAAAGGATGTTTTCATGGCACAAGGAAATGGAAAACTGGATAAACAAACAATAACCTGGCAATATTATTTTCCCCTTTCTCTCTCTCTTTTTTTTTATTTGGTGGAACTGGGGTTTGAACTCAGGACTTTGAGCTTGCAAAGCAGGTGCTCTACTGCTTGAGTCACCCCTCCAATCCATTTTTGCTCTGGTTATTTTTTGGAGATGGAGTCTTGTGAACTATTTGCCTGGGCTGGCCTTGAGCCATGAGCCTCCTAATCTCAGCCTCCCAAATCGCTAGGATTATAGGTGTGGTGGGAAGGAAGAAAGATAGGAAAGTTCAGAGAGGCCAGGTGTTGGAGGGGATCTGTATATATTTTTAGAGTTGAATATTTTAAGATAAATGAAGTTTATAATAAAAATATATAATAATTTAGTTAAAAAATTCTAGGTTATTATATATTAATATGGTATTTTTTAATAAAAAATTTTAGGTCTCACTGAATGCAAAATGACAAAGTCTAGTCCTTTGAGAATAACACTGTTTTTAGAAGAGGAAAAGCCCTTAAAAGTAACATCAGACCCAAAGGCTGAGCAGCAGACGGGTTCGTTTTTATTTTTTGTTTCTTATTAACTTTGGTCACATTTTAAGAAATAATATATTAACTGAACCACATATTCAAATGTACGTTGTTCTATTTCTGAAAATATCTTATGATTTCATAATATTCTTTATTTCCTTTCCCCCGGCTGGGAAATGTAGCTTCCACTAAAATGCAGTAATGTTAGCAGTCATGATTAGTTCATATACCCCTGGGAAAATCTGTCCAAGATCGTCACTCAGTTTTATGGGGAGAGGAAATGTGCTGCCATCCTATACTCTGCAGGAGCTGGTACAGGGGTTAGCAGCCCAAGAGTCTTACTGTGAACCTCATCCTATGTGGCATCAATATTTTCCTGTTGCTGACTGCTGTGTGAAAGGGCAGACTCCTAACAATAGAAAAAAGTCATTTGAAGGAACATGTTTTGAAAGTCTGAATCTTTTGGCTACTATCCTGCCAGTTGAGTAGTTTTTTAATATTCTTTCTTAAATCCAAAGCATTAAGTCAGCTTTTGGTGATTCAACCTTTATTTCTTAAAAAATGTTACTGGAACTTTGAAAATTTTCTTTGTTTCATATATTAGCAGTATTTTATTAGGTTTTTTTTCCATATTTATTTAGAAAGCATGTGAATGTTAGGTCCTCTCTGCTATCCCTTTAATTCTTAAAGGTCTGAATCATAGTATCTTCCCACTGAAATATTTTTCAGAAGTGGTACGTGAAATTGAGATGAGTGTGGATGATGATGACATGAATAGTTCGAAAGTTATTAATGACATCTTCAGTGATGTCCTAGAGGAAGGGGAACTAGACATGGAGCAGATCCAAGAGGACATGGATCGAGCAGCAACAGAAAACAGTGATGAGCAAGAAGATGCACTGAATATCTCCTCAATGTCTTTACTTGCTCCATTAGCACAGACAGTTGGTGTGGTAGATCCAGAGGTAAGAAACGACTAGATGTAAACAGGTCATGACATAACAAACAAAGTTGTATTGGAACACTCCTCCATCCCCTTCTTGATGATAGGTATTGTTTAAGAAAATGAAATTCTCTTTAATGAGAGCGTAAAAAGTTTCCATTGGTGTCCTGGACTTTAGATAAAATTCAAACAGTAACATGACTAAACAGGCCAGACATTTGGGCTCAAATCCTCGCTCTGGCATTTTTATTTGTTATTTCACCTCTATATGTCACAGGTCCCTCATCTGTTCAACAAGGTTAACAATAGTACCTGCATCATAGGGTTGATGTGAATATTAAATTGTATTAGTGTTTAGCACCAGACGTAAAGCTAACATTTACTAAGAGCTCACTGTTGTTATTAGCTATCATTCTAAGTGGGATAACTGCAGCTCTGGAGCTTCATTGAATGCTAACTTTTATTTGTTTATTTGTTTGTTTTTAGTGGCACTGGGGATTAAACTTGGGCTCTCGTGCTTGCTAGCAGGCACTCTATACCACTTGAACCACTCCACCAGTGGAGTAATTCTTTAAATTCTTTAAAAAGAATTGCTAGTATAAATGTCAGCTGTCTTTGTGTTTGTTCATTTACTTTTTAGAAACTTATTGTAGTTTGCTGCTTTTATGACAAGTCAATTGACTTATCAGATCTTTATTTCCTAATAATGAGGAAGAATTCACTTATTTTCTCAGAATGAAATGATTTAGCATCAAATATTACTTATCCATAACCAATAAGCCCTAATATACACTACATATACACACAGCACTAATATCTGAGTGTTGAGCATGGTGTTCTCCTTTAATAGGAGTACATAGGAGACAGAGGCAGGAAGACGGTGAGTTCCAGGCCAGCCTGGGCTGCATAAAACAAAGTAAAATTAAACAAATCTAAAACAAAAAACAAAGTAAAATTAAAGAATCTGATATCTGATGTGCTTCCCTACAGAGTTTAATTTCCTCAAAGCTGCAATTGAAAGACAGTAGCATAAGTGATGAAAGTCCCAAACCAGGAAAATTCCAGAGAACCCGTGTGCCTCGAGCTGCATCTGGCGATAGTATTAGCTCTGAGGATCGTGATCTCCTTTATAGGTAAGGATGTGTTTTGCAGAGAGCATCAAATTCTGCTGATATGAAGAATAGTGCTCAGTGTGTTGTTGAATTTCTAACAGAATAACTTTTTCCTAAAGCATTGATGCATATAGGTCTCAAAGGTTCAAAGAAACAGAACGTCCTTCAATAAAACAAGTGATTGTTCGGAAAGAAGATGTTACTTCAAAACTGGATGAAAAAAAGAATGCCTTTCCTTGTCAGGTTAATATCAAACAGAAAATGCAGGTATGTACTCCTGAATGGGGATTTCGAATATTTTCTATACTAGATTGTGAACTCTGAAGACAAGGGCCCATTTTATTCATCTTTATACCCTGAGTGACTAGAGCAGTGTCTGATGTATAGCAGCTCAGTGAGTCATTCTTGAATTCAAGTTAATTTCAGAAAGATACACTTTTTAGAAAAGTTGGAAGCTTGTTTCATATTGCTGAATTATTTTTTTAAACTTGTTTTTCATAAATATCTTTAATTGGATGATGGTGAAGTGTGAAATTTATTGTGCTCTTCAAGATTTTTTATGCTAAAGAAAGCATTTTTTAAAGAACTAATTATTTAAATAAGATGTATTGGGTACTTTCTAAACTTCTGCCTTATTATACATAGCCCTATTGTAATTTTAATAAGCCTACATTGGAAGTCTTTTCATAGGGAAGAATGTTTATAGTTTACCAATTATACCCATGTTAAGTGTTTTTAGTCTAGGACATTGAACAGGGAAATGTTAACATTTTGACTTTGCTTTCTGAAAAATTTGGAAATGATCCAATCAGATTAGTTAGAATTAAAGTGAAAGCAGTGATTAAAAGTGAGGACTTTTTCTCCCTCTCATTGGTTTCCTAGGAGCTCAATAATGAAATAAATTTGCAGCAAACAGTGATCTACCAAGCTAGCCAGGCTCTTAACTGCTGTGTTGATGAAGAACATGGAAAAGGGTCCCTAGAAGAAGCTGAGGCAGAAAGACTTCTTCTGATTGCAAGTATGTATGGTGTAGCCAATACAATTCCACCAAAATTCCCAAGCAGGGAAAACTCGTTTCGTGTGGTCTATTCAGAAATCTCAAATTTTAGAGAAAGAGCTTTCTAATCATCTGTTTCAGTTGAACTAGTTTTTGTTTCTCGTACTTGTAAAGATTGTGAAACATCTTCATGTAAAATAAAATGTAGTTTGTATGAAAAGTAAAACCAACTGGAATGCATTTAGTATACCTATATTAAGGTGTACACATGAGCACTCTTGTCTCTGTCTCTTACTCTCCCTATTTGTCTTTGTATAACTAAATCTGCTAATGTGAACTGTGGGGGTGTGCATGTGGTGATGAGGCATGCTGGGGTGATACCACATAGGAAAATTGATTAAAAAAATGACATATTAAATTATAAGGACTTGTTAAACAGATGAGCAGACAAGGTATTACTCAAATACCTACCACCAAAGGAGGAAGTAATTTGATTTTTGATCTCATTTATAATTACCATATCAGTGTACTTTCTTGAATTGGCTCTCACTTAGAAATGGTTGCAAGTTTAATATTCGGAATATCCACTTGCATATTTTTGCATAGCTGAGAAGAGAACACTTTTGATCGGTGAACTGAATAAGCTGAAGAGCGAAGGGCCTCACAGGAAGAACAACTCTGGTCCCATTTCCAAAAGTGAATTTGTCCCATCCAAAGGATCAGTTACTTTGTCAGAAATCCGCTTGCCTTTGAAAGCAGATTTTGTCTGTAGTGTGGCTCAGAAACCAGGTATGTTGGTTATTTGTGTTACTTCTAGATTACAAGTTACATTATGAACTTCACCTAGATTGGATTTGTAGAAGAAAGGTACAAGTAATTCATGCATAAAGATGAAGAATTTGAGGGTTGAGCATGTCACTCAAGTAAATAGAGTGCCTGCTCATGTGCAAGCCCTGAGTTCAAACTCCAGTACCACAAAAAAAAAAGAAGATTCACAATTTGTGTCTTGGACCTTAGGTCCTTTTATCAAAATATAGAGGAGTTTTCATACATAGGATTACCTGTCCATGCAATAATGGACATAGCTCAGCATAAGACTAAACATTATTTTAAAGCTAAAATGTTTTCCTAAGAGAGGAAACATACCATTTGACTTTCATTAATATTATAGAAATATATTTGCACAACTAGAAGAATTTATTTTACTTCTTCTTTTCTTAAAATTCACCCCATTATAGATGTTGTTTCTATAAATTCTGAGTTAGTGTTTGTGTGGGTGGTGAGTGCCTCAGTGAAGATCAAAGCAGGATAATTCTAGAAAACTTACTAAATTATGAGTTTTATTACATGTGGACTAAATATTTTTTAAGGTTCTTTTAAATGTTTACTCTGTAGACCTTTGTCTTTGAGGGAAAGGATGGCTAACCATAGGTGAGAAGTGAATTTGAGACATGGGGAGAGTAAAGAATGGTGAAGTGTAGACAGAAAACTATGGTAATTTAGTATGTACTTTGAGATATGTGGTTATTCAGTGACAAATAATGATAATTAGTGAGGAAATAGTTCATGTTTTTATTAGAATTTATCCCTGAGTACCTTTTACAATATTTTATTCTCAGTTTTGAAGTAATAAGTCCTAACTTACCCTTTGGAGGTGTATATATAATTAACCAAAGATTAGGAATCAGTAAGTAAAATTCAAACATAGCAGAAATTGAGAAATGTCAAGTGAAGTTATTTAAAAAATTCAACTTACATAGCTGGGAGAACTTGATGTTTATTCCAGGATTATAGCTGTCAAGTTATGTCTTACATACATTTTTGTTTCTGGAAACTTGATTTTACTAATTTTAAGTGTAAATTTTATACGTCAAATTGCAGTATGACTTTATTCCTTTGATCTTCCAGAATGCCGGTTAGCTAAATCTGATTTTGATTGTGCTAATTATGTGGTTTGATTCATTCTTACAGATGCAGCAAATTACTATTTCTTAATTATACTAAAAGCAGGAACTGAAAATATGGTAGCCACACCATTAGCAAGTACTTCAAATGCTCTTAATGGCGATGCTCTGACATTCACCACTACCTTTACTCTGTAAGTGAATTGAACATGGAATGATTCAGACACATTTCCCTTTAATGCAGTTATCTCAGTCTGTGGTGCGAAGGATAGAATCCAGGGCTTGGTGTGTGCTAAGCTGTGCTCTGCCGCTGAGCTACATAACCTGAAATGCCTTTTATAACCTGAAATGCATTACGTTCATTTTTTTAAAACATGTACAAGTAACTCAGTTTTCAATTTTTTGCCTGAGCGTTTTTATGTTTCTGATGTTTTTTCTATTGAACACATTTCTTTCATGTGATTGCAGATATTTAATATTTTGAAGTATTATATTTATTAAATCTGTACCATAATTTGTAATATGATTTAAATCTCATAATACACTTAATTATTTAGTCTGAATAAAGAAGATATTTATATTTAGTGTCAGATTTATTTTGAAATGACAAAGTCAAAATCTAATTTGAGAAAAATGACTACTTTTGTCATTAAAGATCTTGAGTTATAAAATCCTGAGGGAATATTTATGACTGGTATTGTAGGAAAAGTTGACTGTTCTTACCAATTTTTGTTGTGTTTAGTTAAAAACACAATGGATTATTTTACTCAGAGTCCTGTAACAGTATCTTTGTCTTATTTTTAAAGGCATAATTTGATGTTTTTCATTCAGTTTTATTTAATACTTTTTTTTTCAGGCAAGATGTATCCAATGATTTTGAAATAAATATTGAAGTTTACAGCTTGGTAAGCATTTAAAGCTTTCTAAAATAACCAATAGTGTACTTTTCTTAACAATGTCAGATTTTAAACTAATTACATTTTGGGTTTGTATGTAGGTACAAAAGAAAGATTCCTTAGGCCCTGATAAGAAGAAAAAAGCATCCAAGTCAAAGGTAAGAATACAGAAGCCTAAGAAAAATATTATAGTCAGAAATTGCCAGTTGCCAGTGGCTCACATCTGTAATCTTAGCTAGTTGGGAGGCTGATATCAGGAGGATCCCGGTTTAATGGCAGCTGGGCAAATAGTTGATGAGATCCCCAAATCCAAAATAACCAGAGCAAAATGGCCTGGAGATATGGCTCAAGAGGTAGGGCACCTGCTTTTTGCAAGTGTGAAGCCCTGAGTTCAAACTTAACAGTGAGTGGTCATGATCCTAAGTATAATCCTGACCTGATCTATATAAGATAGAAAGTTTAATTTTCTTTACATTTACTTGACAGCTAACTTTCATAACTGCTTAAGACTTTTCCCAGTGCTCTCTTCTGCATTCTTTTCTTACTGAGTCCTCTCACTTAGGATTTAATAATGTCACATGTGCTTGGTAAGGAATAGAGCTTCTAACTTGTTTTCCATGTTTCTAGTCTTTGCTCTTTTGTTGTCTTCATAAGTCATCATTAAAAAGTTTTTTCTTTATTCTTTATTCTTTATTCTGACTTTCTGGGGTTTTTTTTTGGTGGTGCTGGCATTTGAATTCTGCATCACACTTGCTAATCAGGCACTCTACTACTTGAGCTACTCCACCAGCCTATTCTGACTTTCTTTTGGAAAAATGTAAAACAAAAATGACAGATGGTGGAGTGGCTCAAGTGGTAGAGTGCTTGCCTAGCAAGCATAAGGTCCTGAGTTCAAACCCCAGGCCATTAAAAAAAAAGAAAAAAGAAAAAAATTTTCTTTAACTTTAACAAAAAAGGAATAGCACCTATCAAAAATTGTTTTAAAAAGAGTGGGAGAGGGGATAGGAAAGAATAAAGGGAGTAAATTTGATCAAATAAGCTATCTTTTTTTTTAGGCTATTACTCCAAAGAGACTCCTTACATCTATAACCACAGTAAGTAGAATTTTTAAGAAATTGAGCTCTCTTGAGGAAGCTCCATCTTGCACAATTGTAAATTAGTGAACCAATTCTAAACACTTAGAGCTGTGGAAATCTTTAAAATATACTAATGAGTTCCAGCACTTGTGAGGCAGAGGCACAAGGATTGTGAATGTGAGGCCAGTCTGAGGCTAAATTGCAAGACCCTGTCTCAAAACAAACACAAAAGTATACTAATGGGTATATATAAATTAGTAAATGCAGGAGAAATGTCTTCTGAAATGTAGTCCTTGTAGTGTTCAAGTTTTGTACTTAATATTTAAATCTTCATATCAAATAAAGGAAATAAATTATGTTTCTAATTCACACTTTTTTTCTTTTTTTCAAAGAAAAGCAACCTTCATTCTTCAGGTGAGTGGATCCGGAACTATTTGAAACTTTAGAATAAGGAGAAGAATTATATGCCATCTTGATTTACTAGTTTTGTTTTTTTCTTTTTTATCTTGATTCATGCTGTTTATCTTGGTTTGCTTAGGGATAATACTTTCTATACAGGGTTTTTTAGTAATAAAACCTAGGTTTTCTAAGCTTACTGTTCAGAATACCATGCAGTCTGGTTACACCTTTGTCAGGCACCAATGTAGGCTACCAGTCATCACATTCAGGCTGTATTGGTCATTACACATGCTATACCTAACCACTTGGCAATTCCAGTAGGTGGCATTGTTCATCACCTCTACTTTTCTCTCTCACTTTTTTTTAAGCAGCACTGGGGTTTGAACTCAGTGCCTCATGCTTGCTATGCAGGCCCTCTTATTGCTTGAGCCACTCCACCTGCTCTACTTCTCTTATTCTTTGTGCTATTCACACTGTGTTTAACGCTTCATTGATCACACCTGGCATTGTATCATGTCAGAAAAGCATCTTTCTAGTTAACTGGAACGAAAGTGCCTAAAAGCCAAGAAAGGCCTTCTCCAGATTGGCTTTAGGCCTTAGTGTTCTATAGGGGATTAGGATGGAGCTAGCTTTACTCACTTCCTTTGGGCTATTGGTCTTTTTTCTGTGGCACACGAGAGTTCCCAAGGAGACCTGTGAAGAGATAGCCTGTGCTAATTATGTCACCCTGGACTGTTAATAGTAATGAAGTGGGTTGGGGGTGTGGCTCAAGTGGCAGAGCACGCCTGCATAGCAAGTATGAGACCATGTGTTGTCTACGGCCATACCACCCTGAACGCGCCCGATCTCGTCTGATCTCGGAAGCTAAGCAGGGTCGGGCCTGGTTAGTACTTGGATGGGAGACCATGTGTTGAAACCCCAGTACTACCTGTCGTCCCCCCCCAAAAAAAATAGCAATGAAGTCTTTTCAATATTTTTTATGGGACCATTGCCTTTTATGTATTCATTTTTGGGTTCTGTGTCTTTAGAAACACCCTAAGTGTTCTAAATAGTATTTTTTTTTAATTAGGAAATATTTAAATGAGTCCTTTTTCTCTTTGGCAGTTTGATTTCATTCTGTTGGGGTGGGGTGGGGAACCATTATTTATTCTTAGAAAAGTTACTCTGAATTAAACTTAATTTTCTCTTTCTTTATAGTTATGGCCAGTCCAGGAGGCCTCAATGCTGTGCGTACCAGCAACTTTGCCCTTGTTGGATCCTACACACTGACATTGTCCGCAGTAGGAAACACTAAGTTTGCTCTGGACAAGGTAATCCAATTTTATTTATAAGAATATGGTATTTTTTTAAATTAAAAAAAATTAAGTCAATGAAAATCCCACAGTACTTTGTATTCAAAGTCTTTGGCTAAAAATACATTCTTAGAACTACATATTTTAACAGATGGGTATACATAAATGATATGTTTGTTGATGTTGGCGATATTTCTCACTTGTTTTTTAATACTGTAGTTTGATTTTCAGTTAATATATACTGGTCTATTCTATGTCACTTCTGAATAAAGAAATGTTATATTGTCCATTTATATGTTAAGCTTACAGTTTTAAAATAGCAACTTGCCTATTTGAGCTGATGTTTTGAAATAAGCAATATTTCATGGATTTAGTTTTGACAGGGTAGGGAAAGATGCATTAGTCTCTTAGAAAAGTCCTTTTGAATCCAAGGGATTTCCTTCCCATACTTACCTCCAAATTAAAAGCTTCAAAATTCAGATCTGTATTGTATCACTGTTGACTGCTTTTTCACCATAATAATGATTTAACAAGACCATTTTAAGGAGTGAGTGAGAAAACTTGAGGCTTACTTTTTGGGTTGATTCCTGCTATACACGTGCCTACACACACACACATTTATATATATATGTAGTGATTTTTTATCTTAATTTAAAAAAAATTTTTTTAGTGTTACTGGGTTTGAACTCAGGACCTTGGGCTTATCAGGCAGGTGCTCTACCACTTGAGCCATGTCTCCAGCTCTTAATTTAAAAGTATTTTGATTAACATGCACTGATTGTACATATTTATGGGATACAGTCATAGTTGAGCAAATCTACACAATGTATACTGATCAAATCAGGAAAATTAGGCTTTCTATCTCCTTACTTGTCTTTTTAAATTGAGCAGAGGCAGACTTAATTTCCCTGAGCTCATATTCCATACGTAATAAAAATGCCATTCATTAGGCCAGTGGTTCTCAAACTTTGCCATGTAGCAGGTCTGTGCTGGGGCTTAAGTGTCTGCATATCTAATAAGCTTCCAGGTGATGGTGAAGCAGCTATACTAGACACACTTTGGAACTTTGCATAGCAAGAATCTAGACATGTGAGAGGATATGTGACCAAGTATTTACTAAAAAAAAAAAAAATCACCTTAACAAAATACTAAAATCATTACTATGGAATAACAAAAATGTTTCTCTATATACTAGGATTGATGTTTGGTTTTCAATATTTCCATGTGTCTTAGTAATTATAAAGCCTTAAGTTTATAGAGTTTAACTTCAAAAAGTGCTATGATTTCTAAAAAGTAAAAATGACTATATTTAAGAACTTTTAAGAAAATCACCGATTTGTGAGAGTGTAGACCATCTTTGGAAATCTGAAATTTTACTTAATTGCATAAATCCTTAATTATTTACTGTCATTTTGAATCTGCCTCCCTCCATGTCATGTAATGTGCTCAACAGCAAGGTCATCATAGATTTTGGCATCCTCAAAATTACTGAGCTCTTGCATTAAAGTCCACAATCATAATACTAAAAAGCATGGTCTTCAAAGGAAAACAACTTGCATTTTTCACAAATATTTCAGTTTACATCCCCCTACCCCCACAAGTTCTAAAACTTGGAAAATACTTCTTCTGATTTATAATTATAAATACTAAAGTTAGGACAAATATCCTTTACATTTGTCTATCAGGTTGAAACCAGGCATAGCACCCTAGTGGACTAATTATGGTTAAAGAGACTGTGAGAACAAGAGGTGCCCCTATACTGGTTTTAGCAGTCAGACTACTTCCGGTGGTCAGAGTGTCTGGCCCAAGCCTCCTGTGAGCTGAGTTGCCCTAGCTTTGGTTTCCTTCCTTGTCCCTTGGGAGCTAATGGCAGTTTAGACAGGCCTGGGAAAGGCCTGATCTTCCTTGAAGATCAGTATGGCTCTTCCCGGGCATAGAATTACAATGGAATAAAATAAGGAACTTCTAACACAAGCCCTAGGGAATCAGGTTTCTCTGAGATGGCATACTACCTCACCTAACTAAGAACTCTTCAACTTGAAAGCATTCCTGGGGGCTGGAGGAGTAGAGTACCTGCCTTGCAAGTGTGAGGCCCTGAGTTCAAACCACAGTATTACAAAAGAAAAGAAAAGCAAAGGGGAAAAAAAAACCATTCCTGGACTTCAACTTCACCAGGGTCTATGAGCACGAGAACCATACACTATGATTAGAATATGGCCTTCTCAGGGCCTCTCCTTATTTCTCTATGTTTGGAGCCTTTGAGCTCCTGTGTTCTAGTTTTTCATGAAATATATTATTATGTACCATAATTACCCCACTGTGCTGTGGAACATAGCATGTATTCCTTCTATCTAACAGTATTTTGGAAACTATTATTTAACCACCCTTTATCGCTGCTCCCTGCTCCAGGTCTCAGCCTCTGGTAATTACTATTCAACATGCAGATCAACTTTTTAAATCTTATGCATATGAGAGGGAAGTTTTTGTCTTTTGATATTTAACATTATTACATGAGATTTATGTAGTTTGAATATAGAGCTGAAGCCCTATGAAAATAAGAAGGCCTAGTTTCTAGTATTTGCTCAGCTAGTAATTTATTTTTTAATATTGAACAAAGTCACTTCATTTCTCAGGGGTCATGTTTTCTCAGGAGAGAATGCTATGTTAGCACGAAGCAATGTAATGTTAAAAGTGTATGAAATGTTTTATTTTAGTTGATGGACAAAAAGCAGCCTAGATTTGAAATTTTGACTGCTCTTAATGCATAAATTTATTTTAACATGTTAATTTCTAAATTTTTATGTAACTTTTTCTTTAGTAATTCAGTTAGCTTAACAAATTGAGTGATCCTGGGTTTTGTTTTTTTTTCTCTTTGTCTTTTTGTTTGTTTGTTTTAGATAAATTATGATGTAAGAGAGCGAGAGCTACTGGGCTATTTGTTCCAGGAAAAGGTTTTGCTATTATTTTCTTTGCTTGAAACTAATGTGCTTAAAAAACCAGTCTTAATTTTTGGTCCATTTGTGTTTGTTTCACTAACTACTCTCATATGTTTTTCATTACTTTGAATAGTTGACGGCCTTATTCTTTCTTTGGATTCTTACAGATGGGCGTCTTTTTCTCAACTCTTACAATTCTTTCAAGCTTTCTTTGAAAGTACTATGTTTTTTCATGCATGTTTGGTGTTTGGGTCTTTTTTCTTTGTATTCTCTTCCATTTTGTAATTCTTTAAAATTCTATATTCTCTGTTGATTTTTTTTGAGTACCTATTAGAAAACCAAATCAGTAACTTTTAAGTTACTCAATATTTTTTCGAACTGTGGACTGAGATTAGATAATTGACTTAAAGCTTGGTATCATGGAACTTAAATGATGAATCTCAATGAATTGCACTCTTCTACTCTTTATTTCAATAGGGAATCCTAAACAGTGAATTTGGCGTCAGAAGGAGAATGATTAGTCTGGGTCTTGACCCCTTTGTGAATATTCTCAATTTTGTTTTTTTTTTTTTTGGTCAGGATGGTCTTCTAACCAAGAATACCGTCTACTTTCCAAGGCTGTAGTGTAGGAGATGCATTTTCTCTTCATCTTTCTGAGATTCTTTTTATTAGAATCCTCTTTGAGCTGAACAAGGAATTCTGTTCCTTAGTATTAAGAAAGATCCCGAGGAGGACCATAAGATTGACAATATGGAAAAGAAAAACAGCAAGGGGATTTGGAACAGAGTAATGGGGCACTTGATGTTTTGATTCTACATTATGGATGCCTTTTATTTATTGTTTCACAGTACTGTGCCTTGAAATTAGGGCCTCACCCTCAGTCCCACCCCGTTTTTGCTCCAGTTATTTTTCAGGTAGGGCCTCAGTTTTTTTGCCCAGGGTTTGTCTCAGACCACAATCCTGCTACCTGTGGTGGCTCGTTGATTGAAATGAAGGTCTCACTGACTTTTTGCCCATGCAGGCCATAAATTGTGATCCTCCTAATCTCCACTTGCTGGATAGCTAGGATTACAGGCATGAGTCACCTTGCCTGGCCTGAATGCCTTTTAGATTTGGGAAGTTACAGGTTCCTGTCAAGAAATTATAAAAATCTTTACTTTTTTTGGTCTATAATTTCTCTTTAAATTATATTTATTGTATGGGAAGGATCAGATTGTTGGAACTAAACTCACAGTAACACTTTCAGATTTAGACTGAACTAAGATTATTCCATTAGGGATAATTTTCATTAGGCAGCAGGGATGACAGACAATAGATGCAGTCTCTATAGTTGATTTTTTCTTATATTTATAATTTTTTTGTTTTGTTGGATGTTACTGTAAATGAGATTGCTTTCTTAATATATTTTAAATTTTTAATTCAAATTTGAAATTATTTCATATTTCTCATAGGCTTAAGCATCATTTAAGTTTTAAAAGATACTTTTAGCATGAAAGACATGTCTATTAAGTGTCAGCATGCTGATAATGATGTTTTAAGTGAAATTTCTTATATGAATAGTTTCAGCCTGGTTAGAAAGCATATTTTCATATGGAAGAGAATACCAGTCCCCTAAAATTTCAACAAGAAAAAGCAACACAGTCTCAGTTTATTTGCTTAATCTTGTTCTATCGAGTTTTAAAATTGTAGGGTGTGGGGTTGAACTCAGGGCCTGGAGCATGCTAGGGCACACACTAAGCCCTATTTTGACAATTTTCTCTGCTCTTTCTTTGATTTTTTAGGTTGTTGTTGTTAGGGGTGGTGGTTTTTGTGGTGCTGGGAACCAAACCCAGGGCCTTGAGTATGCTAGGCAAGCACTCTACCACTGAGCCACAGGGCCTCGTGTAGCCCAGGCTGCCATGAAACTAGGGCTCCTCCCACTTCAACCTCTCAAGTGCTAGGAGTTCAGGATGTACCTGGCCGCTTCCTATATTTTAAAGCTATATTATTTGTGCATGAACATTTAAGATTGTTGTATTATCCCAATGAATTGTTCACTTTATCACTGATGATTCTCTTTATCTTAATATTAGTGTAGTCCGA